CCCACACCCCACGGCCCACACAACCACACCCCCCTACCCCACCTCCACTTACCACAAATCAGCACCCTATGGTCACGCGTTCCAAAACTGGCATAACTTGTCCCAAACATATCCTCAACCTCAACACCACTGTTCCCATCTCTCCTCTCCCGCTCACCTATCGTAGTGCTCTCAAAGACCCCAATTGGCACAATGCTATGTGTGAGAAATTTAATGCATTGATCAAGAATGACACATGGGAATTAGTACCCCCCTCCCCTCACCAAAATATCATAACCGGAAAATGGCTTTTTAGGCACAAACTTGGCCCTACAGGTGAGTTAACTAGGTACAAAGCTCGATGGGTTGTTCGGGGCTTCAACCAGAGATTCGGAGTCGACTATGATGAGACATTTAACCCTGTGATCAAGCCAGCTACCATACGTATCATTCTCAGCCTTGCTCTCTCTCCAGGATGGCCGATTCATCAGTTGGACGTCAAAAATGCCTTTCTTCATGGCCATCTGCAGGAGGTTGTCTACGCCTCTCAGCCATCCGGATTCAAGGACCCCCATAGGCCCAATTATGTATGCAGGCTCAAGAAGGCTCTCTATGGCTTGAAACAGGCACCCCGCTCATGGTACCAACGATTTGCTGGATTCATCTACACACTGGGGTTTCGAGGCTGTAAGTCTGACACCTCTCTCTTTATCTACTCTCATGGGACGGACACTGCCTACCTACTTCTCTATGTTGATGACATTGTCCTCACAGCTTCCTCCGACTCTCTTGTTCGGCGCTTGACTGAGTGCCTTAAGGGGGAATTTTCTATGACTGACATGGGTGACCTTCATTTTTTCTTGGGTATCAATGTCCATCGGACAGCTCATGGTCTCTTTCTACATCACAGTTCACTCACGACATCCTTGAGCGTGCCGGTATGATTACGTGTTGTCCCATCTCCACTCCCGTCGATACGAAGGCTAAATTATCTGACACATCGGGTTCCTTGGTAGCCGACCCTGCCCTCTATCGCTCCATCGTTGGAGCCCTCCAGTATCTCACATTTACTAGGCCAGACATCTCCTACTCTGTTCAGCAGCTCTGTCTCCACCTTCACGCCCCTCAAGATGTCCACGTCACAGCTATGAAGCGGGTACTACGCTATCTCCGCGGCACCTCCACCTACGGTATGACTCTTTCTCCGTCTAGCACAGATTCTATTCAGGCCTACTCCGATGATGATTGGGCTGGGTGCCCCGACACCAGACGATCCACATCAGGCTACTGTGTCTTCCTTGGGGACAACTTCATCTCTTGGTCCTCCAAGCGTCAAGCCACCATTTCCCGATCCAGTGCTGAAGTTGAATACCGAGCCGTCGCCAATGCCGTTGCCGAGACCAGCTGGATCTGAAATCTCCTTCTAGAGGTACAGCAACCCCTACGCCGCGCCACACTCATCTTCTGTGATAACGTTAGCGCTGTTTATCTCTCCACCAATCCAGTTCAGCATCAGCGCACCAAACACATTGAGGTAGACATTCACTTTGTTCGTGACAAGGTGGCCCTTGGCCAGATTCGAGTCCTTCATGTGCCATCTTCCTCACAGTACGCAGATATATTCACAAAGGGCCTCCCGTCCATATTATTTCAGGATTTTCGGACAAGCCTCGGGATTCGCCCACCATCGACGCCGACGTAGCTGGGAGCATGTTAAATATATTCTATATTTATGTTAAATATATATTCTGTATTTATTGTATGTATATTGTTTCCTATTGTAGAATCCTACCATGATTAGGATTAGGAATAGCTTGTGTATATAAACACATGTACTCCCACATTATTGCTTAAGGAAATTCATAATTCTTTAGTACCCCTCTTTTTTTTCAAACAAAAATATACTATTTTCAAACTTTAAACCAAACACCTGACAAGGAAAATGACTTTTTACTACCTCGTTTCTGAGAATTTGTTCAATTTTAAGTTTTTTGCAGTCAATTATTTTAACCTTTTACCTATAATTAAATAAAATATATATATATTCATATTAATTAAATAAAATAATATTTTGAAAACATTTTAAAAAATGAATCTAATAAAAATACTTTCGTATCAATATCTAATGTTACTTTTATTTAATTCGTGGTCAAAGTTCACTAATTTTGACCGAAAAATAAAAAAAGGACATACACTTAGAAATGGAGATAGTATATATTAGTATAAAAATACTTTCATTATATTTATCTTATTGATAACTTTAAAAATTTTATTGATTATATTAGTATGAATACAAATTAAAAATAATTGATAATTAAAATTCGGCTAGTTTGACTCGAAAAAAATCCCTGGGAAGTAATAATGCACTCGCACCCACATAGGAAGTAATTTTCTCCATGTTCTAGATGCCATTTAGACATTTGCTCCATGTTCTCAAGAGTAGTCACTCAAACATTTCCCTTCTTAGACATTGTTGTATTCTCTTTGTCCTGAAATGATTATTATAGTTTGACTTTTTTATCAAATGGTTATATACTTTGACCATAAATTAAATATATCTAGTTTAAAATAGTTATATATTACAAAAATTTGATATTTCAAAACTATATTTTAAAATAAGGGAAAATAGCAGGGTTGCCCCCGCCCCACGTGGTTTAAAAAAAGAGTGTCAAAACTTCCTGTATTTTCAAAAGTCATCATTTGTAAAGTCTTTATGATTTCTAAATAGAGCATAGATGCCCACTTACCTATTTTTAAAAGCAAAAATGATATTTATGCCCTTCTCTCTTCCTCTATCTTGAATTTTGTCTGTATAATCTTTCTTTATTATACAAATATATAAAATAAAATATACGCTCTCCATCTCAGATTAAAATTTTTCAAGTATGTATTTTTGAAAACAATTTTTTTGGAGAATATTACAAAAGAAAATTAAAAATAAAATAGTATGTACAAAGTAAAAAAAATAATTAAAAAAGGTAATGAAAAGAAAGAAAAATATAAAAAAGAGTCTTTATCTTTAACTCCATATTTTATTTCATCTTTTTGTTCTTCATTTTATAAAGTTCTTAAAAAATTATTTTACTTTTAAAAAACAAATAATTTATAATTTTTAATTAGAGATAGAGTGAGTATATGTTATCTAATTTTTTATTCTATTTATTTTACTTTTACTTATAATAAAAAAGTGTAATTTATTTCATTTTTGTATTTTTCATTTTCTATTGTAACATTTTCCAAAAAAAATATTTTTTTGAAAAGTAAAAAAAATTAATTTGAGAAAGAGATTGTATATTTTATTTTATTTATTTTTATAATAAAAATAAAAATAAAAGAGTGAAAATACAAAATCGTCTAGTTTTATTCGAAAAAACTCCCCTCAGCTACCGAAGTAATACACTGGCACGCACATAGCAAGCAATTTTTTAGATGTCTTTTAGACATTGTCTCCATGTTCTAGATGTCATTTAGAAATTTTCTCCATGTTCTCAATAGTAGTCTGAAATATTTCCCTTTTTAGACATCGTTGTACTTCTTTAGTTTCTAAAAAATTACTCCGTATTACACTTTCACTTTTTTGGTTAAATTGTCATATCTTTTCTATTCTTTTGAACGCGAATTAAATATAGTTTAAAATAATCAAATATTATAAAAATTTTATATTTCAATTTCATAACTATATTTTAAAAATTAAAATAAGGACTAATAACATGGGTGCCCCTTGTAGCTTACAAAAAGAGCGTCAAAATCCCCTCTATTTTCAAAAGTCATTTGTAAAGTCCCTATAGTTTCTTACTAGAGCACAGGTGCCCTCCTACCTATTTTTAAAGCAAAAATAACATTTGTGCCATTTCTTTTCCTCTATCTTGATTTTCTACTGTTTTATTTTCGTTTATTATACAAATATATAAAATAAAATATACGCTCCCCATCTCAAATTAAAAATTTTCAATTATGTATTTTGAAAACAAAATATTTTTCTTGGAGAATTTTACAAAAGAAAATGAAAAATAAAATATTATGTACGAAATAATAAAAATAACTGAAAAAGGTAATGAAAAGAAAGAAAAATATAAAAAACAGTCTTAAAAAAATATTTTCTAAAAAAGTGTATTTTACTTCTTTTTTTAATTTTTCATTTTATTTTGTAACATTTTATAAAAAAATATTTTTTTGAAAAATAAATAAATGAAAACATTTAATTTGAGATGATGCTACAGTTTGATTAAAATATTATAAGTAAATATACTTTTTCCATAATTCAGGGTCAAATATTATCCGAGTTTGATTAAAAAAGTTAAAGTGTAGTAGTGTTTTACGGAGAAAAGGGGTAATGCATATGGAGCTTTGGTGATCCCCGCCGCCCCTACTTCAATCGCATAAATAGAGAATTACACATTGGTGTATCCTCCGTAGTCCGTAGCAAGATTAACGCAACAGTGATATATATACATACATACACATATCTTCATCAAAACCTACGACAGCCTAATGGACGACGACAACCAGTGGAACGACGACCTTGAGATGGAAAGCGAGAGCGAAGAAGAAGTCGTAGAAGAAGTAGAAGAAGAAGAAGAAGAAGAACCCATATCAACAATTACCAAAGAGGGCACAAACACGAATGAAGGCATCGAGACCGATGTGAACGACGATAATGACCTCAACGATGCTAATAATAATAATAACGACACCGACAGCGATGAGGACATGTAACGGTTATAGCCAGACGCGCCTATAATCATCCCATTTAATTATTTCCTTATTTATTACTCCCGGGTATAATGCATTTGTATTTTAATTTTGGTTGAAAATGCTGCATGTCCAGCTAAATTATGAGCTCCTTACAGTGCGAATATGAGAATGATTTATCTTCAGAGCTTTCTGATGCATTTTACCCTTGTAGTAGTGCATTTTCGAAAAGCTTTCAAAATATTGTTTAATCTAATATATCATGCAAATTTTGAATTGTTAACTATAGATCAATTGTCGATCCTCGTTGATTGCAAAAAGTCAAAACTAGATACTCTTCATCACCGAATCTTATTTCAATTTTATGCTCATTTTTGCTTTAGAAAATGTTGCATGTTGGTGTTAATGATGTTTGATTATAATTTATAATTATTATGAAATCAATTTATAAGGATACTCGTGTGAAATTAAAAAAATTATATATTTGAAACTATATAAAACAAATTCTACAAAATAAGAGGGACATAACTATATCGTTTTGCCAAATGAGTATTTATTATATTATTTAATCATGTGACTATAGTCCTTGATTATACTTAAAATTGTCCAAGGACATTACAACAACAACAACAACAACCCATATAAATCCCACAAGAGTAGGGTCTGGGGAGGGTGTGTGTACGCAGACCTTACCCCTACTCGAAAGTAGAGAGGCTGTTTCCAAAGAGACCCTCGGCTCAACGTCGAAAGTTGCATTGCTTGACTAACTGCTACTTCATTAATTAAAGAAGCGCAGACAGTTTAGAGATCCATTTTAATTTATTCCATCACACCTCAAAGCCAAAAAATGGTGAAATTTTGGCTCCATCCAAGGACATTATATGAGTTAATTAGATTAGTTCCTCTGACGTCAAAGATATTCATTTGAGATCATGTCTAATGAATAGATTTAAGGATATTAAATGTCCCTAATTGTATATAGAAAATAGTTCAAGGACATTATATGACTTAATGTTTTCCTCAACATGACAGTTCAACGACATTTTAATCCTTACCTTAGCCTAGGTCATGGACAATAAATCCACTAAGTGATCCGACTTTGAACGGCGGATCAGAAGAAATTAACAAGAAACGAGAACTCGAGAATTATGGAATTATACGCTAGCTAGGTTTAGCTTGAGGATTCCCGTTTGGGTCCTCCCTATTTATACATGCCATCTACGTAATTATGGTAGTTTACAATTTATGAAAGCTAATCCGAAGTTTACAATTTATGAAAGCTAATCTGAGATTCACGCGATCCCCTTCCTTCGGTTACTTTTCCGCATCCAGCTGTGTTTCCTTCTCCAATTCGGATTTCCCCAGCTGTACGTATTCATCTGGTCCAGGACCAAGCCTTTGGGCCCGCCCAGGACCGAGGCACACACATACGGGTACCCAAGCACCTCTTGGGCACGAGATTTGGGCCTTCTAGTCTCCTCCACGTCCCCTGTTCCCCGGTGCCTGCGTTTCCACCCAATGCGGAGGCCCTCTTGCTATCAACTGATCCATTTCTTTTTTCAATGTAACACACACCGACGTATTGTGGGTGCTGCTACGGTGGTACTCGCGGTACTTTGGGTTGTCCTGGACGTTGTAGTTTTCCCGACTTCGTGGAGGGACTGGTAAAGATTTGATCGCGTGAACTGGAGGTCTCCTCGCCGGATAGCTTGTAGGGTTTGGTCCCCTTCCAAAATATTTTCGCTTCCTGCCCTCGCCCGCTGGCTGCGCACTCTTCTTCTCCTTGTGGACAGGTGCTTCATCATCTTCCTCTTCTAACGCCAGGTACTTCGCCCTGGCCAACATCTCCTGGTATGTAGGGAGTGAATTTCATCGCAACTCCATGCCCACATTCCCTGGGGGAGTGCGGCTTGGAGCATGGCGATCAGAGCCTGGTCGTCCGCTCTGTTGGAGTTGTACCATGATGGCCAACTATTTATCATTATTCTATCATGTATAGGCAGATATAATATGTTTACACATCTCATGATTTCCTGTGTGGATGTATGATATGCATGGTGGATGATTGTGGCTATAGTTTATTTGATTATAATACGGCCTGCGTGTCGTGCCTTATCTTTTAAACTATTTTTGTAAATCTATTTATCTCTCTTACCTCAACCGAGGATTCTTTTCTCACGTGGTGGTTTGAATGCGAAAAGATTTGAAGTCCGTTTGAAGAAATCTAAAAGAATGGAGATAGCCCGAAGTCCAAGTGCCCGAAAGCCAGTGGGAGCTATTGTTTTATTTTTCTTTTTAGGGGCCACAATCATTACATGTTTATTTACTGCGTTTTGTGAATGCATGTTGAATGTATGTTGAACGCTAGTAATGGACATGTGCGCGGCCATGTTGATAGGTGAGATCGAAATTATAAATCCCTCACGAATATTAAGTCTGTTGCCTTCTGACGCCCGACACCTATCCGGCTAATGTGCACTGTCATGTACTCAGCCTCAGCAGAGCATAGTACGGTGTATGTTAAGCTGGTTACGGGAACCTCCATAGCGTGGTCACTGTCGCACGTTGGGTTAGACTTAACTAAGTCTCGGTCAAATGGATGGACGACTCAGAGGCAGTAAGTTGGGGTCATCAATGACAAGTCGGATGATTTTACTCACTCATCCAGCCAGGAGTTGGATTTTTATGATTTAATTGGAACTTTGTTCTTAACCAAAGTAGTCTGCTTGTAAGACGTGCCTCATCCAATTACAAGTATGGTGAAAAGGTGTTCTGGTCCGGTTGTAGTAATATTGTTCGCCCAACACAAGACCAAGAGCTGAGAGCTTGGCTCATCAGTTGGAACTATTTTCCTACCTAAATAGTTGTCTTGTGGAGTAACGCCCAAGCAGAACGCAAGATAATGAAATATGGATCTTGGCCCACTGGAGTTTTCGCTGGAAATCTCCGAATCAATATCGAGGGTTATTGATTTGTTAAGAATAGTGGGAGATAATTAATTAAAGGCCTAATTAATTATTAAACATGATAGATAACCTAGTTTGCAAAATTTTCTGTAGATGGCAAACAACAACAACCCTTTCAACCTGCGATATGTTCTAGAAAAGGAAAAATTATCTGGAACCAACTTTCTTGATTGGAAGATGAATCTTAAGATTATTCTCGAATGCAAGAAAAAGCTCTACTTCCTTACATCCGAGCCTCCCAAAGCTCCTAGAGCGAATGCCCGTGCTGTAGAAATTACTTCGTACAAGAAGTATGAAGATGACGCACGTGATGTGAGATGTGTCATGCTAGCCACCATGACCCCGGAGCTCCAAAGGCTCCAAAAGGACATGGAAACTCATCCTATGATGACTCGCTTGAAAGGTCTATACCTAGGCCAGGCTAGACATGAGCGTTTCAAAATCTCTAAGACTCTGTTTTCTATAAGCTAGCAACGGGTAACCCAGTTGGTCCCCACGTTCTCAAGATGATCGGTCATATTGAAACTCTTGAAAAACTGGACGCCCCGTTGCACCCTATGCTGGCAACTGATCTCATCTTGGGATCATTACCAGCTGAGTATAGTCAAACTGTAGTGAACTTATGCATAAACAAACTAGAGATGACTATGCCTGAGCTACTGAAATTCCTCACAACTTTTGAGGAGAGTCTAGGGAAGGGCAAGGGTAAGTCTGTCCTGATGGTAGAGGGCAGTACTGTTGCGAAAAAGAGTGGGCCATGTTCGCCGGCCGGGACCAAGCGCAAGGGTTCTAAGAAACCCAAGCCAGAGTCCAACTCCTCTTTGTTGAAACCCAAAGAAGGAGCTAAGAAGAAGTCTGTTGTATGCTATAATTGTGGCAAAAAGGGCCACTGGAGGCGCAAGTGCGCAAAATTACTAGCAGAGAGGAAAGAGGGAAAGAAACCTCAAACCTCGGGTATCTTCGTTATTGAAGCCAATATGTCTGATATCACCTATTGGGTGATGGATACTGGATGTGGTTCTCACATCTGTACTTCTATGCAGGACCTGCATGAATGTAGACAATTGACGGAGGGAGAGATACAACTAAAAGTCGGCTATGGCGCACTCGTAAATGTATTAGCCATCAGAACCTATAGTTTATCTCTACCTAGTGGTCTTATATTGCATTTGAATAATTGTCTGTTTGTACCTAGTATGAGCAAAAACATTATTTCTGTATCCTGCCTTGACAAAGCAGGATTTTCGTTCCTTGACATGGATACCACAATATATACATCGCTCAAGTGTACTTGATTCCTTTGACTTCCAGTCATATGATGTATGTAAATCTTGTTTACTTGATAAAATGAAAAAGGCTCCATTCACCGGTCACGGTGATAGGGCGAGTGACTTATTGGGTCTCATACACTGTGATGTGTGTGGTCCAATTAGCACTGTTGCTAGAGGTGGTTATTCTTACTTCGTTACATTTACTGACGACCTTAGTAGATATGGATGTGTGTATCTCATCAAAACACAAATCGGAATGCTTTGAAAAATTCAAAGAATTCAGGAACGAAGTAGAAAAACAATTAGGCAAAAGTATAAAGACCCTCCGCTCAGATCGAGGAGGTGAACACCTAAGCTTGGAGTTCGACGACTATCAGAAAGAGCATGGGATCTTATCCAAACTCACTCCTCCGGGGACACCTCAGTTAAATGGAGTGTTTGAGAGGAGAAATCGGACTTTGCTTGACATGGTCCGAAGCATGATTAGTCTGACAACATTGCCAGAATCATTTTGGGGATATGCATTAAAAACAGCAGCACACACACTCAATAGAGTTCCATCTAAAGCTGTCGAGAGCACACCATACAAACTATGGCGTGGGAGAAAACCAAGTTTCTCGTACTTTAAGATTTGGGGCTGTGAAGCTTATGTAAAACGTCTCATGACGTCTAGTAAGTTGGAGTCTAAATCTGATAATGTAATTTTTGTGGGATACCCCAAGGAAACTAGAGGGTATGAGTTCTATCATCCATCCGATAACAAAATCTTCGTTGCTCAGAACAGAACCTTCCTTGAGAAGGAGTTTCTCTCTACTATCACTAGTGGGAGAAAGGTAGACCTCGAAGAAATTCGAGAACCACAAGAAGAAGTCCCGATAGTGTTGGAACCTGAGCAAAGAGATCAAACAATTAACCTCAAATTTCTCAAAATATACCACGTAGGTCAGACCGGATACGTAATCCTCCGATAAGATATGGATTTCTCATGTCTGATGAAGGTGACGTCTTGTTGGTAGATCAAGGCGAACCAGAGACCTACCTCGAGGCAATTACATGCCCCGAATCTGATCTATGGCTCGAAGCCATGAAATATGAAATGGAGTCTATGTACACAGACCAAGTCTGGACCTTGGTTGATGCGCCCGAAGGGGTAAAACCCATTGGGTGCAAGTGGGTCTTCAAAAAGAAGACAGACATAGACGGGAAGGTTCATACCTTCAAAGCTAGATTGGTAGCAAAAGGTTATAGACAAATCCACGGAATTGACTATGATGAAACCTTTTCTCCAGTTGTTATGCTGAAATCCATTCAGATAATGCTTGCGATTGCAGCCTATTACGATTACGAAATTTAGCAGATGGACGTCAAGACGGCTTTCCTTAACGGGAACCTCAAAGAGGATGTCTTCATGACACAGCCTAATGGTTTTCAAATTGCTGGTCAGTCTGCCAAAGTCTGTAAGCTGCAACGCTCAATCTACGAATTGAAAAAGGCATCTCGGAGTTGGTACATACGCTTCGACGAAACCATTTCCAATTTTGGTTTCGAGAAGAACTCTGACGAATCTTGTGTATACAAGAAGGTCAGTGGGAGTGTAATAGTATTCCTAATATTATATGTCGATGACATATTGTTAATGGGTAACGATATTCCCGCTCTAACTTCTGTAAAGATGTGGTTAAGCGAGAACTTCTCCATGAAAGACTTAGGGGATGCTAGTTATGTCCTTGGCATAAGAATCTACCGAGATAGATCAAGAAAGTTAATATAAAATCCTTGATCGATTTAGCATGTCTAACTCAAAGAAATTATCTTTACCTATGACACCTGGCACGGTTCTTTCTAAGAACCAGAGTCCTTCTACTCCCGAGCTGAAGGAACTCATGATGAAGGTTCTATACGCCTCTGTGATTGGATCCATCATGTACGGCATGATATGTACTAGACCTGATGTCTCATTCGCTTTAAGCGTGACCAGCAGATACCAGGGAAGTCCAGGAGAAGCACACTGGACAATGGTCAAGAACATCCTCAAGTATCTTTGCAATACTAAGGATGCATTCCTGGTATGGTGAGGAAGAGCTAAAGGTGGTCGGTTACACTGATGCTAGCTTCCAAACCGACAAAGATGACTCAAAATCACAAGCAGGATATTTGTTTTGCCTGAATGGTGGAGCTTTTAGCTAGAAGAGCTTCAAGGAAGACACAACCGACGATTCGACTATAGAGGCTGAGTACATAGCTGCTGCCGAGGCAGCTAAAGAAGCTATTTGGATCAAGAAGTTCATTACTGAACTTGGAGTGGTTCCTAGTACTAATGACCCTATCTCGTTGTTTTGCGACAACATAGGGGTCATTGCACAGGCAAAGGAATCGCGATCTCACCAAAAAACCAAACACATTGTACGACGCTATCACATCATACGAGAAATCGTAGACAAAGGAGATGTCATGATTTGCAAAGTAGATACTGACGACAACATAGCCGATCCCTTTAGCAAGCCTTTAGGAAAGCTAAAGCATGAGGGTCACACTAGGTCCATGGGCATTTGACCGATGCCAGATTGGCCATAGTGCAAGTGGGAGATTATTGGAGTTGTTCCCTGATGGCCAACTTTTTATCGTTATTCTATCATGTATAGGCAGATATAATATGTTTACACATCTCATTCTAATGTAAACAAACATTATTGTTGGGTTATGGAACCCGGGGGCCTCGGTAACTAGGCGAACGAGTATCGAACTAAGTAAGAGCGCACAAAGTATGAGGGGTCAAGTTAATTGAGAGTAATAATGTGCTAGTAAGAGTAATACTTTTAACATAAGTCCCCCTTCCCTTAGAAGGAAAGAGGTTTATAAACAAGTTACAGCAAGGGTTCCGACCGTTGGTCCGTAATCCAACGGTCTGGGCCCACTAAGATTGGGTTGCTCACTGGCGGCGTCCAACCACATAATTAACCCTAGGACTGCTACACAAAGTAGGTTACAAGTAGGGTGGCTATAGCAACTCTGGCAGAGGCATGGCAGGAGTCTAATCGTGGGCCCCTTGATCCTGACCAGGCCGGCTCCCTCGTCTAGATCTGGTCTACCGCTGCTCGTGGCTGAGGCCGAGCGCCTGACTTGCCTTCGGAAGCCTCTGGATGGAGGGCCGGCCGTGGTTGCTCCGAGGATGACCAACCCTGCTGGGGCCGAGTGCGCAGTGCTGCCGAGGCACTCTTTGTTGGTCATTTGTCCTAGTTCCATCAAGTGGGCCTTGACGAAGTTGGGCTGGGCCGTCTTCCTGCTGGGCTGGATACCCCCATTCCCGGGTATCCATCATGAGTCCCCTACTTCCTCGGCTGAGCGCAGCGAGGCCGAGGGAAGTAATCCAACAGTTGGGATCTTGAATTTTTGAGATTCAAATTTTGAAAATCTTGGCCATGTGTAGGAGTCCCCCGCTGCCCAAGTCGAGTACTGACGAGGGTTGGGGAGTGACCAACTGGCAAGATTTACACGTATCCCCTCGATTCTGAGAAGTATGATTGCACCGCTTGGGAGATGCAACGTCTCTGTACTGTTCCTTTGTCAGCCGTTCACGATGATTCGTGATCCTACGCGTAAGGAAGCGCCACGTCTCTTCGTAATCGTGCCTTTTCATCGAGTCGGGTTGGGTTCCTTCATTATATAAAATTGAGAATTTTCCCAATCTTCTCCACTTTTGCCATTTTTTGTGCCGCAGCCTTGCCGCTAATTCTGCTCATCATCTCCGTTCGTTTCCGTCGCCGTCGCAGTCCAATTTGAAGGTTAGTTCCCTCTTCTCCGTTCTCATGGCGTCTTCTGATTCCAATCCTTCCACCACCGCTGTCGACTCAGCGGTGGTTTGCTTTGAAGAAATGTACCGTCAAGATCCCTCCCTCCGCCCCGACGGCTTGATGGGAGGAATTGACCATTCCAGGGTTTTGAGCGCGGTGCCTCTCCGCACGTCCGTCACCGTGGCGTCATCGTCCCGGGCACCGCCCTTGAAAAAGAAGAAGAGATCGAAAGTTGTCAAAGGGAAGAACCCGAAATCCTTACCCGTTACCGTGCTGGAAACGGGTCTGATTACGATTACGGGTTGTCTTCTGTTGGATATTGACTTTGACGAGGCTCTCCGCTTCGTGGGCAATGGTTACGTGGTGCGCCGACCACACACAACCAACCACGTCTTCTCTGTGACCTGTCCCGACGCCAAGATCGGGGTGCACGTGGCGTCAATGCGCTACGGCCTTCGCTTTCCCCCTCACGATCTGATAGTCCAATTCTTGAATTTCTATCGTCTCTTGCCGGGTCAGCTCAGTCCCCACTCCTACTATTGTTTCTCGATTTTCTTGATTAAGTGTCATCAGAGGGGAGTCCCCTGGTCTCTAGACTTGTTCCGTTACATGTTCAAGGTTTCCAAAGTGGGGGCCAATGAAGGGAATTCGTATGCCGTTGTCTCTTCCCAGGCCGAGTTTGGTATGGCCGTCTTCCCCTCATCCCTGAAACTCTGGAAGGCCAAGTTTGTCTTCATTTCCGGCTTTCCCGGGGACCGGCATCCCTTCCACGCCAGGTTTCCCGAATGTCACACGTTCATCCGTCATCCTCGGCCTGCGACCACTCCTGAGTTTCAGGCATACGCGCAAAAACTGTTGGAAGACTGCCGGCCTAAACCGCCTCACATGTACACGGTGTGTACAGAGCAGAACTTAGCGGAGGTGGGGATCCTTATCTCCCTCGAGTGCCAATTCGAACTGTCTGAGGCCGTGCTTGGGAGTCGCCTGAAGCATGGGCTTGAGGAGAGTGCCCCGAGGTTGGAAGATATAGAGTCGGAGGACAACGAAAGGGAAGATGGCGGGGAAGTCGGAAACGATGAAGAATCATGGCAGCCATCCTGCTCCGAGGGGGTTGCTGGTATGAAGCCTTCTGGAGATCTGTCCCTCATATCAAGGTTTTTCCTGTTGGATGCCAAGTCTTTTAACTATTGTTTTGTTTTGGCAGGAGATATGAATCCGGTGGATGTTATTCGCAAGGCCAAACTGTTGGCTCGAAACCGAGGCCGAGGAGCGGAGGTTCAACAAGGATCTCCACCCGTGGGTGCAACTAGATCTGTTGCCTCGGCCCGGACTCAGGAAGCGACTCCGGCCCGGAATCAAAGAAAGAGGAAGCTCATCCAGGTCGAGGACGAGGAAACCGCGTCCGAGCAAGATGTGGTTCTGACCCAGAGTCCAACGAGCAAGCGCCCAGGCTATCTTCATGGTGGAAAAAGTCCCGCTTCCTTCGACAAGGCCAACGGGGTTGTGCAGGCTGAGGTCGAGGCTACTTCTCTTTCCGCGGCGCTCAAAGATGAGGACGAGATTCTTTCGTCCTTGCAGGGGCTTATGGACAACTTCCACAAACAGGTTAGGTTCTTGACGTCTTAATTCTCTTTATCTGTGCGAATAACTGACTTGATTTTGCTCAGGTGTCGGCGAAACTGAGCCTGATCACCGAACATCGAGCCGGGGCCGAGTTCTCTTCTTCCATGAACTTCTTGGCTTCGGTGGAAACAGAACTGTCTCGCCTAAGGAAATTGGCGGAAATCGAGCACGAACGGGCCACCGAGCTTGAGATGCAGGCCGTGGCGAAGTCCGAGGAGGTGGTCCGGCTGCAGGGCCTCCTGAAAGAGTCGGAGGAATCAGCCTCCCAACTGACGGCTTCAATGGCCGAACTCGAGGGGCGATTGCGCCAGTCTGAGGGCCGGATCTCCGAGCTGGATCTTGAACTGGCCGAAGTTGTCTCCGCGCAGCGGTTAGTGGAGGTGGAGCGAGATTAGCTTCTTGCCGAGAGGGAGCAAGCCGTTGCTGCCGAGAAGGAGCGCGCCATCTCTGACTTCCTTCAGTCCCCGTCCTTCAAAGAAAACTACCTGGAGAGGATGGCCGCTTATTACGAAGACTGGCTCAAGACCGAGGCCGGCACTGAGAAGATGGGAGTGGAAGGGACGAAGTGGTTCGAGAGCGGCGTCTATCATGGAATCCAGCTCGTCCTTCGCCGGGCCAGAAGAGTGGATCCGTCCTTCCCTCCGCCCGGGGTCGTCATTCCAGAGATGCACGATCCTAGCCTTAATGCCGAACTTGGGGAGAATCCAGATCACCTTGGGACCCCGAGCACGAGGATGCGGGCGCAGATGGAGTCGGCGACGAGCAACCCCCAAATGCCCTTCCTTAGTGTTTTCCTTGTAATGCTTGCGATCTTTTTCTTCACTGTAATAAAGATTTTATTACTATTTTGTTGCATGCGTGAATAGTTGGGTAGATTTCTGACATTATTTATTTGAATAAATTTGAATTGCGCCTTTTGAGGAACTGACTCTTTGGCTTCCCCACGCAAACTGACCCAACCACTGGACCGTCGCTTTGTGCCAAACACGTGTCACTGTGCACAGTTTACTTCTAACCACCGCGACTGTTCAATTCCCTTATCCCTTCGTTCATGGGCCTATAAATTGGCCTTCTCATTGCCTCGTGAAGTCCATCTCTTCATTCCTTAAGTAAATCTTTCCAAGGCTTCCAATAATTCCAAGGAGATCGGTCCTCTGCCTTCCCGGCGGGAGACCATTCGCCGTCGTCCTCCCCCTCCGGTGGAGGATGCCGAATCTCGCACAAGTTCATGGTGGTATCGTGCAAGGAAGTTGGAAAGGCGGATCAAACGTCTCCGAAGACTCGTGAATTATCTTCACGGAGTTCCCCAACAGCCAGCGCCTTTGGTCGAGCCCGCTCGGCCAGCCGCTGATGCCATCCCCGCGGGCGACGATCACCCGGAGGAGTCTGTCGGCTCTTCCTAAGTTTCCCTATTATGGCCCTCCCCTGTATACTTGCCGATGGAGGTTTGCAGAATCGGGGGGCCATCCACGTCCTTCGGCGCCTCGGCTTTGTTTGTCCTGAAGTCCATTGGGCCCGGGGCGTGTCTACTTCCCCATGACTTTCTCTACTTACCAATGGATTTGGGGATCTTTCTTCCTTCGTCCGAAAATCCATGGGGAGGTAGAGAAAGTCATATCTTTTCCTTTTTCAGTGCCGCTGTGTAATAAATGTTGCCGACGTTGCAACCGTATCGTGTAGGGCTTGTAATAAATGTTGTAGCTTTCGAGAATACCTCTGTAATGGAGTTTGACTGTGTACAATGAATGTCTTTGTAATAAGTGCCCTGTGCTGATTATAAATGTGATGCATTGTTCCTTTCCTTGTTTGCGTCTCTCTTTTTTTTTGCAATATGGCGTTAAGCCCTGGTACTCCTTCTCTTGAAGAGGGAACGTCCTTCATCCGGGCTATTCCCCCTTGTTCTTTCCTTATGGCAGATTCGTCTTTGCCCAGTTTTGCCACTGCTCTGACTGCGGTGGGAAAGTGTACTCATCCCGATCTACCTTCTTTGAGTGAGGATTCTGTCCAAAGTCCCTTCCGTCAGGAACCTGATCCAACGGAGGTTGCGCAGAAGTCTGGGCGTTTGGTGCGCAAGGTGGGCACGAACGTGCGTGCCTACCTCAAAGGCTTTCGTCGTGCTCACCGGAAGAAGACGATCAGCGCCGACCTCAAGGCGCATCTCGCGGTCGACCATGGTGCTTCCTCCGTAGATTCTTCATTTTCTGAAGAAATAAATGTGTATTTTGACCATTCGGGAAACAATGCTTGACGTTCTTGTGCCTGAACTATGATGTATTGCCGTCTTGGGCGGATTTTGTGTAATAAAACTGCCTGTGTTCTACTTTTCCTTTTCTCTTTTTTTTTACACCCCGAAGGGTTCTTTTGCGCTCACGCCCTCAGCAGGGCGGCGAAAGGTGTGTCCTCAGCAGGACTAGGGGTCGTGGAAGACATCCTAAGCAGGATTGCAAGTTTTTTGTCCTAAGCAGGACCTTGCGCTGCCCTTTGTGCTATTAACAAGTTGTGCCCATTCGGACCTTGTTCTTCGTCTCGTTCAGAGCGCCAATTCCCCGGGTTAGGCCATGCGGATGGGCTCCCCCCTGAAGGGACACTCGGCAAAAGGCATGGTCGAGTGGCGAGACGGCAAAGCAGCGTCTTTAAATTGCGGCCATAAAAAATCATGGCGTGGGAGCCCGATAGCGCTAAGCAGCGTCTTTAAATTGCGTAAAGCAAAAACAACAGAATTCGCGTGGAAGCGAGTATTTCATTAAGTAGAAGATTTTTTTTTTTAGCTACCGAGGCCGACTGGTTACGGTTCTCAGCGCCTTACATGTAAAAAGAAAAGAGATTGTGCGTGTTCTAGTGCCTGCCGAGTTCGCGACCTTCTAGCGTGGAGAGCTTGTAAGTGCCTGGCCTGAGCACAGCTGTGACCTTGTACGGTCCTTCGTAGCTTTTGGCAAACTTTCCCCCCTCTGTAGGCTGACTGGCCTCCCTTTTCCTGAGTACCAAGTCCCCTACTTGGTACTCCCTTGCTCTGACCTTGCGGTCATAATATTCTTTAACTTGCCTTCGGTAGTTCTCTGCTTTAAGGAAAGCTTGCTCTCGGCGTTCTTCAACGAAATTAAGATCGGCCGCCATGGCTTCCTCGTTCTCCTTGGCTTCATAATTTTCCTCTCTCCATGTTGGGATGAACACCTCCGAGGGTGCCCTTGCTTCCAGGCCGTAGCACATGGAAAACGGCGTTTCTCCAGTCGCCCTCCTTAGAGTGGTACGGTATGCCCATAGCACGTTGGGGAGTTGATCGACCCACGCTCCCTTGTAGGATTCAAGCCTCTTCTTGATCCCGTCCATGATTGTTCGATTGGCGTTCTCTACTTGGCCGTTCCCTTGCGGGTATGCCACAGAGCTGTAGGTGTGCCTTATCTTCCAATCTCCCAAAAGTTCATTGAAATCTCCAGCTTCGAATTGGGTTCCGTTGTCTGTAGTGATCTGCTTTGGGACACCATACCGGCAGAGTATGTTGTTGCTCACAAACTTTGAGCATTGTTCTGAGGTTCCTCTAACTAAAGCCTCGGTCTCGATCCACTTCGTGAAGTAATCGATGGCCACAATGATCCAGCGGAAATTACCGGGTGCCCTCGGCATTAGTCCGATCAAATCTATCCCCCAATGAGCAAAAGGAATTGATGAGCTGATGGGATGATAGCTGGTTCCTGGCCTCCCCGGAATGTTTTGGAAAACTTGTCATACTTTGCAACGCTTGGCGCGCTTGGCACAGTCCTTTACCATGGTCGGCCAGAAGTATCCCTGCAGGACAATGCGTCTGGCCATGGAGAAAGGACCTTGATGTGCCGCGCATATTCCTTCGTGGACCTCCTCCATGATCTGCCCCGCTTTGGTTTCATCAACACACCTCAGCAATGTGCCGTTGTACGATCTCTTGTACAGTCGGCCATTCTCAATGACATACGTCGGCGCCCTCCGTTTGATCAGACGGGCCGCCGTCTCGTCACTAGGGAGGATTCCATCCTTCTTATACCGGATCAATTCCGCGATCCACCCGCTGGCCTCCTTGGTGACGACAGAAATGAACTGGACGTGAATGCTTGGAGACCCCATGTCTTCAATGTGAGCCATCTTGGAGATGTGCTCGGGACTGTCGTTGCTCAGTTTGGAGAGGACGTCGACCTCTGTGTTTTCCGCCCTCGGGATCTGCACGAGCTCGTAACCCTTAAGGATTTTGAGCAATTCCAAGGCCGCCTCCTTGTATAGACGCATCCGTTCCTCCTTGGTATCGAACTCCCCTTTGATTTGACTGACGACCAGGCGCGAATCGCACCTGATCCTGACATACTCGGCCTTTAGATTGAGGATGAGCCTCAGTCCACTCAGTAATGCTTCATACTCGGCTTCATTATTGGACACTTTGAATTGGAAATTTATTGCATGATAGGAGCGGAATCCTTCAGGTGATTGGATTACTACGCCCCCACCGCAAGCCTTTGCTGCTGATGATCCATCAGTGGACAGAGTCCACCATTCGCCCTGTTCGGCCGTTGGCATGGGGTTGTTGTCCCGTGCCGTGCATTCCACCATGAAATCGGCCAAGGCCTGGGCTCTGATTGCTGCCCTCGGCTTCATCTCTATCTGGTACTGACTCAGATAGACAGACCACTTGATGACCCTATTAGAGGCCGTCGGATTCCTGATGATGATGCTCAGAGGTTGATGACTCCTCACTTCCACTTCGTGAGCTTGGAAGTAATGGTTCAGCTTCTTGACCGTGTTGACAACGGCCAAGATTGTTTTTTCCACCACCGAGTATCTGAGCTCGGCATCCCTCAAGGTTCTGCTAACATAATAGATAGGGCGCTGAGTGTCTCCTTCCTCTCGCAACAAAACGGAGCTTATGGCTCCAGGGCTAACTCCCAAGTAGAGGTACAGCTTCTCGCCCTTGACCGGCTTTGCTAATACCTGCGGGGTTAGCAAATACTTCTTCAGTTCTTCGAATGTCGCCTGGCATTCAGGTGTCCATTGGAATTCTGGGACCTTCTTCAGTGTGCCAAAGAAAGGAATACTCTTCTCGGCGGATTTTGACAAAAATCGGCCGAGTGCAGCCATCTTTCCCGTCAGGCGCTGTACTTCCTTTATAGAACGGGGGGCCTCCATGTCCAGGATCGCCTTGACCTTCTCGGGGTTGGGCTCAATACCTCGTCAGCTCACGAGGTATCCCAGAAACTTTCCACCTTCTACACCAAATGTACATTTTTTGGGGTTAAGACGTAAATTGAACTTGCGCATAATAGAAAAAACCTGGGATAGATCCTCCGCATGGTCGGAAGCCTGCTTACTCTTGACGATCATGTCGTCCACATATGCTGCCATCGTCTTTCCCAAGAATGAGTGGAACACTCGGCTGACCATCCTGGTATATGTGGCTCCGCTGTTCTTCAGCCCGAATGCCATCACCAAATAGCAATACACCCCCTCCGGGGTGAGGAACGCCGTCTTCTCGGCATCTTCGTCGTGCATGAACACTTGGTGATATCCTCTGAACGCATCCATGAAAGACATGACCTCGCACCCGGCTGTTTCGTCGATCATTTGATCAATATTAAGCAAAGGGAAAGGGTCCATAGGACAAGCTCGGTTCAGGTCAGTGTAATCCACACACATCCTGAATGTCTGCCCCTTTGGTGCCAGCACGACGTTGGCCAGCCAGGTGGGGTATTTGATCTCCTTGACATGCCCTGCTGCATGGAGCATGTCCACCTCCTTCTTCACGAAATCTCTCCGGTCTTTGCTCAAGTGCCGCCTTCTCTGCTTTACGGGCTCTGCGTCCGATCCGACCGCGAGGCGGTGGGTGATCAGGGATTTGCTAACTCCCGGCATATCCTCGACACTCCATGCAAAGACCACAAAGTTCTCCCTGAGTACCTGTATGATCTTCGATCGAAGTTCGGCACTAATGTTAATACCGAGCTTGATCTTCTTCTCCCACTGCTCCTCCATGATCACTACATCTTCTGTATCTTCTGCTGGCTCAGCTCGAGGACGGCCTTCTTCCTCCTTCAAAAGTGCCGTGGCAATACTGTCCACCCTGAGATCCTGGGCGTCCATCTTCTTTGTTTGTTTCTGATAGCAGAGTCGGGCGAGCTTCTAGTTTCCTCTGCATACTCCTACTCCTGAATCGGTAGGGAATTTCATACTCAAATACTTCACCGATGTTACGGAGTCGAGATCTTCCAGTGTAGGTCGTCCCAAGATCAGATTATGGGATCCCAGAAGTCGTACCACCAAAAATTCGACCGAGATTGTCTTCTTGTGTTCTCCATTGCCGAAGGTGACCATCACCTCGACCAGGCCTTCTGAATCGATGATATCCCTTGTGAATCCGGACAAGGGAGTCCTTACTCTCTTCAAAAGTTCCTTCTTCAATCCCAGCTCCTCAAATGTCCTTACATACATGATATTCACCGAGCTCCCATTGTCAACGTAGGATCGGTGGATTACCACCTCGTTGATCTCACACTTGACGACCAACGCGTCCCTGTGGGGTGATGGGATCTCAGGCAGGTCCTTGGGACCAAATAGGAGGGGCTCCGTCTTCGTGATTTTCGACGGTCCGGGTGCGCTGTGAACATCTCCGATATAGGCCGAGTGTACCCACTTCTTTCTTTGCTCGGCACTGTCTCCTCCGGTGTTGCCACCGTAGATCATTCTGTTCTCCTCGACCCTCTTCTGTCTAGGGTTGTCTTCTTCTTCTTCGTCGCTCGGGAGACCTATCTCCTTCCTCTTCTTCTGCTGAGTTCCCGCCGGTTTCTTCCCTCGGTTGTCCCCGTTCTTCTTCCCATCATCCTTGTGCCATGTGTTCTTCTTTTTGACGAATTGTCGCAAATATCCCGCCTGGATCAGGTTCTCGATTTCCCTCTTGAGGACCTTACACGCGTCCGTGTCATGACCGGCCGCTCTGTGGAACCTGCAGTAAGGGCCCTCTCCGACAGTGCAAATCGGGGGGAATCGCGGATCGTACTCCACCAAGCCCTGATGCTCGGCGAAATCTAGAATGGCGCTTACGGGATGTGTAAGCGGCGTGAGCTCATCAGGGAACAACAACTTGGGACCTCTGGGAGGATAAGGTCTCATGTCCTCGCCTCCTTCTTCATATATGTCCTTTCCGTGCGATCGTCGGTCGCGAGGGTCTCTGCCCTTCCGGAAGCAGTGTCCGACTAGCAAATGTGGCCGCTCATCGATTGTGACCTTTCTCGGCATGGGCTTCACCGCAGTTGCGATAGAACCCAGCCTTCCAGCTTCCTCCTTTTTCTTATTTGCCTCCAGCTCCTCTGCTTCATCCTCTGCCATGGCCAGCGCGATGGAATACTCCCTCGGCTTCTCTAGGGCTAGGCGCTTGGAGAAGTCACCTGAGCGTAAGACCAAATGGAAGGTAGATAACCTGGTTTTGTCATCCGCTCCGTAAACTCTGGTGGTCTCCAGCTTCCACCTCGCCAAGAATTCCCTCAGCGGCTCGTCGGGTCGTTGCCTAACCGACAGGAGATGTGAAAAATGTAATTTCTTCTTCCTGTTCCCGGCAAAATGGACCAGGAACCTTCGTGCCAAATCCTCCCATGAGTCGATCTTCCCCTCAGGCAGTTCATTGAACCACTCAGATGCCAACCCGTCGAGAGTGGCGGGGAACGACCTACAAAGGACTTCCTCGGAGAACGTTACCACGTTCATGAGGGTTTGGTATCGGTTGAAATGCTCTTGCGGATCTGTGGTCCCGTCATACCTTGGTATGGGCGGCATCTGAAAGCTGCTCAGCAGTGGTGCCCTCAGGATCCTTTCGGAGAAAGGAGAACGAAGTCTGAACATGGGTTCGGCAACCTGTCCCGCCCCGTTCCTCCTTTCCAGGGCGTCCAATCTCTGCAAGAGAAGATCGATGCGTTCGTCCCCAGGTCTGCCCATGTCCCCGTCTATCGCGATAGGCGTCCCTTGTGGCGCCCTCAGAATCGGACGTTGAACGGGTTGCTCGACCCGGGAATTTTGCCTTTCCGGATGGACCTCTCTGTGTCGGTCACACTGTTCCTCGCAAGGCATCCTGATCTTTCCCGCTTCGTTCAGCAGGAAGGCATTCCGTCGGCCGTAAAGCCGTTCCGTGACCGGCACTCGCATCCGGCTGAACACGGATACGTGCGACTCACTCTCACCCTGTCCTTCCTTCAATGGTTCATGACGTTTGCTCGCCGTTTCCTTGTCTCGACGGCTGGCTTGCTTCTTGCTAGGCCTACGCTCCGGGCCATTGCCGTTGTCCCGCTGCTGGGATCGGCTCAACTCCTTGTTCTCGGGTCCCCCGGCCAAAGGATTCAGGCGGGAGTCCGTCATTAGATTCTTCAGGTGTTGGGCAAAAAGCTCTGCACTTTCCACCACGTTTTGCTGGACCTCACGATGTCCGTCAGGTTGGAGCATCGGCTGCGGCATCGTGACCGGCATGTGGAAATCGGTCATGGGCTGATTGAGCATCATCGCCCTCATCATGGCCCAGAAACCGCTAGGGTCTGGACCTGGGGTCCTCGCACCAGAGGTCTCCCCGAATTGGAAGAACGGTGAGTTGAAATCACCGGGCAACACCATGCCTCCTCCACACACAAGCCCGCCAGGAGGAGGCTGAGTTAGAACGCCGACGCCCTGGGTGGGTACCTGCTGGGTTGGCGCCTGAGACCCCCCAGCGTTCGTCATTCGCCGTCTGGGAATGCGGTGACGCAATTCAGCTGATTGAGGCTGATGTCCAGCTCATCGGGACCTGCGCCGGTCGGCGCCGTTACAGTCATCCTGAGACCACCACCAAGATTGGCGGTAGACGACCTGGTAACTCTCCTTGACGCAACCATTTTCCTTTGGAGCACGCTTGATGTGTTCGACACTCTCAACGAGAGCACCAATGTTGGGTTATGGAACCCAGGGGCCTCGGTAACTAGGCGAACGAGTATCGAACTAAGTAAGAGCGCACAAAGTATGAGGGGTCAAGTAAATTGAGAGTAATAATGTGCTAGTAAGAGTAATACTTTTAACGTAAGTCCCCCTTCCCTTAGAAGGAAAGAGGTTTATAAACAAGTTACAGCTAGGGTTCCGACCGTTGGTCCGTAATCCAACGGTCTGGGCCCACTAAGATTGGGTTGCTCACTGGCGGCGTCCAACCACATAATTAACCCTAGAACTGCTACACAAAGTAGGTTACAAGTAGGGTGGCTATAGCAACTCTGCCAGAGGCATGGCAGGAGTCTAATTGTGGATGACTTGCCTTCGGAAGCCTCTGGATGGAGGGCCGGCCGTGGTTGCTCCGAGGATGACCAACCCTGCCAGGGCCGAGTGCGCAGTGCTGCCGAGGCACTCTTTGTTGGTCATTTGTCCTGGTTCCGTCAAGTGGGCCTTGACGAAGTTGGGCTGGGCCGTCTTCCTGCTGGGCTGGATACCCCCATAAGAATCTACCGAGATAGATCAAGAAAGTTAATATAAAATCCTTGATCGATTTAGCATGTCTAACTCAAAGAAATTATCTTTACCTATGACACCTGGCACGGTTCTTTCTAAGAACCAGAGTCCTTCTACTCCCGAGCTGAAGGAACTCATGATGAAGGTTCTATACGCCTTTGTGATTGGATCCATCATGTACGGCATGATATGTACTAGACCTGATGTCTCATTCGCTTTAAGCGTGACCAGCAGATACCAGGGAAGTCCAGGAGAAGCACACTGGACAATGGTCAAGAACATCCTCAAGTATCTTTGCAATACTAAGGATGCATTCCTGGTATGGTGAGGAAGAGCTAAAGGTGGTCGGTTACACTGATGCTAGCTTCCAAACCGACAAAGACGACTCAAAATCACAAGCAGGATATTTGTTTTGCCTGAATGGTGGAGCTTTTAGCTGGAAGAGCTTCAAGGAAGACACAACCGACGATTCGACTATAGAGGCTGAGTACATAGCTGCTGCCGAGGTAGCTAAAGAAGCTATTTGGATCAAGAAGTTCATTACTGAACTTGGAGTGGTTCCTAGTACTAATGACCCTATCTCGTTGTTTTGCGACAACATAGGGGTCATTGCACAGGCAAAGGAATCGCGATCTCACCAAAAAACCAAACACATTGTACGACGCTATCACATCATACGAGAAATCGTAGACAAAGGAGATGTCATGATTTGCAAAGTAGATACTGACGACAACATAGCCGATCCCTTTAGCAAGCCTTTAGGAAAGCTAAAGCATGGGGGTCACACTAGGTCCATGGGCATTTGACCGATGCCAGATTGGCCATAGTGCAAGTGGGAGATTATTGGAGTTGTTCCCTGATGGCCAACTTTTTATCGTTATTCTATCATGTATAGGCAGATATAATATGTTTACACATCTCATTCTAATGTAAACAAACATTATATTCCTAGATTTATATTTAAAGATGTTTATCAGGTAGTGTTATTTTGTTGATGAGACTAACATCTTGAAGTAATATTTATCTGAATGTCCATAGTCGAGTATTAACGAGAGTGGGATATTGTTAGCGCATGTGAGACTAGTGTGTGTTGGATGTTGTTTGACTTAGTCTCATAGTCAATGACAGTGTGTTTGCATCCGCACACGGGCAGATATTATCTAGAGATAGTAGGATGCCGGACTGACCCATCCTAAAGATGTTGCTTGAACTTTTAGTTCATGCTCTAAGCATCTTTAGCGCGACCACAGGTGTAACTATCCTTCGACTTGAAGTATTACGTTTTCTACATATGTGAACCCGCATGCTTTGATGCATTGTCCTAAGCCATATGAAATAAGGATGGTATACAGGCTTTGTTTTGGGTATACCGCATCGCATATTCAGAAACGTAGATTACGTACTTAGGATTTATCACTACTCTTTTTAAGAGATCAATGTGGGGCCCACTGATAAGTTATGACTGAGGAAATTGCATGGCCATGATGAGATGTTTTTTATGACGTGTGTTCCTACCAGTCAGACTTGATAAATCAGTGAATGACTTAATGGATACAAGTTGGATTTTTTTAATCTCTTGCATTAAGTCTAGACATTGAGACAAAGGGATACAATTACACGGAGTGTGAGTCGTGGAAAGGTTTTGACGGTGCAAACGTCTTAACTTATAATCTAGGGGGCAATAATGTGTTGCTAGATACCGTTTATTGCTTATAGTATTGGTGCAGAGCCAATACTGTGGCCAGTTTTATAAGTGCCTATACGGGTCACACACTTTGGACAATTTAAGGAGTAGGATTAAACAATGGGATAATAAGTAATTTCTATATTTGTAAAATAGTAAAAAAAATATTTTGGAGTATAATATATATTATATATATGGTTTATATATATATATATATATATATATATATATATATATTTTAAACCTGAAAAACATCACCACTAAGGGTGTGATAGAGCCCAGGTACGCTCTATCTTATTAAATTAAAGATGAAATAAATAGTACAAAGGGATAGGGTGGGCTAAACCCAAACAAGGCCCAACAAAGCTAAAAAATAAAATAAAGTCCTGATATTCTGCCCCTAATGGGCGAGGAAAATATGAAAAAGGAGAAAAGAGTTAGAAGAACTCCAAGTTATCCAAATCATCCTCAAACTCCTCAAAATTCTTAGTATCAAGTGAATTCTTCCCATTGACGGCTAAGTGTGCTATCTCCTCAGCCCGAGCCTGTTTGAGTTTCATCTTTGCCTTCTTTTTCTGTTTTTTGCTAAGCTTCACTTGGCATTTCGGGGTTGGAGTGCAGGTTTGGATATCCGTCGTTTTGATTGAATATATATATATATATATATATATATATATATATATATATATATATATATATGGGCCGGATCAGGTGAGAATGCACCTTGGTGAAAGAAATAAGAATAAAATCTAGCCTTTGGATCGGATGCATCGTGCGGCTCAAATTGCATCATGCACTCAGATTTTGAGATAATGCATTTTTAAAGGATTTTGGTTCATTTCGACATGATGCATTTTCAAACCATTTTGGTGCACCTAATTTTGATGCAATCCTGACCCTTAGATCTTACAATCTAAAGCGTCAGATTCATTCTTATTTCTTTCATAAGATTGCATTCTCACTTGAACCAAAATCTATATATATATATATATATATATATATATATATATATATATATATATATATATATATCTTCCCTCCCCTCCTTTTTTTTGCTAGGATGCAACTGCAAATGATGTCCCTGCCCAAAAGTTTGAGGTTCAAGGGTACCCAACCCTGTACTTCATATCTTCAACTGGTGACATAATACCATATGAAGGTGATAGAACAAAAGATGACATTGTTGACTTCATCCAAAAGAACAAGGTTAGTAATAAACCCGTTCAGTCGGAAGACTCGGTGGTTAAATCAGACTCACTGAAAGAAGAATTCGCAAAGGACGAGCTTTGAGACGCTTGCAGAGGAAAGAGTGTGCAAAGGCAAAGTTCCAGTTTTCCCAACTGAGGAACCCAAAAATTATCCTCTCCTCTTGCCTCAATAATTTCCATCAAGCACTGCTGGTCCTTGAATGCAGCATCCCAAAAAAACCAGATTCTCATATGCTCCCAACTATACTGCTATGAAGGGAATTTCTGCAACCCTGGCTAGCTAGAGCCCAAGAGGAAAATGGCTTCCTTCATCAACCTAAAGCTCCCAATCACTAAACTGCTGATCAAACTTGAAACCTGGAATGATATCCAAATTTAAGGAACAAATGAAGCATAGGCTGTAAAGTTGGTAAAATTGCATTCAAGTAGGCCAGATTACTGACTGAATTGTCTACATCCTTATGGAGTACTGCAAGACATGTGAATATAAACCTAATAACAAACATCTCACAAAATTAATCCTCCTTATGGCTAGCAGGGGTAGATTCAATTCCAATTATTTCCTGGCTGAAGACCAGTGAAGAGAAAAGCACCATATGGGTAAAGTAACCCGGCTATAACACAGATTCCTATAGTAGTATATGTCCCCAAATAACTACTAAAGGACCAACTTGATTATTCAGAATCTTCCCTTTCGTGCCCTGAATCCCTCTTTTTCTTAAGTCTCTTCTTAGACTTTTTCTTTTGGATTTTGGTTAAAGGTGTATTCGGAAAATGCTTCTCAAGAGGTTTTTCTGGCTTATTTGGACAACAAAGCTTGAAGAAACTTCTAATGTCTTCTGCATAGGGAACCTCCGAAGAGTCAGATCCTTCCTCCCACCCAATAGGGGTTTTCTTTCTTCCTTCTTTCAAAAGCTTAGCCCTACTTCTGGTTACTATTTGCAAAGGAGAGTAGATGTGCCTGCCTTTGTAATCTCTTCCCAAGTCAAAAGGTGTTTTGAACATTCTAGAGTAATCAATTTGTAGAGGTTTAAGGATGTTGTCATTGAAGACCTTGTCTTCACCTTCCGAGTGCGTGTATAGAATAGGCCCTTCTCTATCCTCCCTAATTTCTTCTAATGCATTGTTGCAGAGTACCTTGTTCCCATCATTAATCTTGTCAAATTCATCATTCTTGAGTGAGCTCCCGAGGTCTTCCACATGATTAAAAAGAGCAGCATAAGGGTCGGGCAATGAGGGGATAAATTCAGCAGCAAATGGGGATAAAAGCACGCTTGGTAGTGGGGGGTATTGAATATTATATCGTTGGGAAGCCTCTTCTGGAGAATTGTTCCCCTCCAGCTTATCAGTTTCAATGAAGCAAGAAATCAGATTAGGGTTAATCTTCTGCTTATCTAGTTTAAAATCTCCAATTTGATTTGGTTGTAACTCCACTTGTGAAGGATCTGTTCCCGGCAAGAAGTTAGTATGGGAATCAGAGAGTGTGACAGGATTTGCCTCTCCTTTGTATGTGTTCAGAAATAAGCTTGAATGCAAATGCTTTTCATCAAGTTCAAGCTTGTCTTTAGCATCAAGAGAGGGACTTTTTTGAGCATCAAACACAGTCTCTCCTTCGGCAATCACTTCAAGGACATTAACCTCACTTGGTTTTGCTGTTTCTTTCCCAATGCCCCTGTCCTTGCCAAAATGCAGAGCTCTCTCTACAAAGGTCGAAAGAGCCTTAAAAAACAACTGAGGTCCCTCATTGTTAATTCCCCAGGGGATATGAATGAATCTATTCCCTTNAGCTTGAATGCAAATGCTTTTCATCAAGTTCAAGCTTGTCTTTAGCATCAAGAGAGGGACTTTTTTGAGCATCAAACACAGTCTCTCCTTCGGCAATCACTTCAAGGACATTAACCTCACTTGGTTTTGCTGTTTCTTTCCCAATGCCCCTGTCCTTGCCAAAATGCAGAGCTCTCTCTACAAAGGTCGAAAGAGCCTTAAAAAACAACTGAGGTCCCTCATTGTTAATTCCCCAGGGGATATGAATGAATCTATTCCCTTCGTTTCTTGATTTCAAAATCCTTATAAAATCACCCCTACAATTTGAATCAATAGCAGCTTCTAGTGTTCTTTGAACATCCAATTTAACACAAGCCCAAGCAGAACCGGAAATCAATCTAGGAAGAGTCTCTAGAACCCAATTGATAGAATCTAAATCGAACCATATATGAAAGTATCTTCTCCCCCTATCTGTAACACTAAAATTCTTATTGTAGACCGAGTAAAAAAGCTCAAATACCTTATTTAGAATTCTGAATCTAAAACGGATGTTCTTGCTAGGCCATGAACAAGCTTTATCACTCTGACCCTGTATAACGACTCGCTGGTCTGCCAGAACATATGAGTTCTTCAAGTATTTAACGTTTGGAGATTTAAACGGTCATCTAGTGTCTCGACGGCGATGCTTCGATCTCTCGTTGTAGTGGCATGCCTTTTGGTTTTTGTGATTTCTAACAAATCTAGTTCTCTGGTAAGACTTGGAAAAGGAAACAAGTTGCCGGCGAGAATAGTCTGTGTAGGAACCGCTATGATGCCTGAAAACTGGCCGGTTAGAATCCCCATTGGCGTGGCGGTGATAGATAAATCTGCCGGGGTTTTCTCTCTCAAGAAACCTAGCCATTCCTATTTTATATATATATATATATATATATATATATATATATATATATATATATATATATATATATATATATATATATATATATATGATAACACCGAAACATATATATATAAATATATTATATGTTAAATATTTTATTTTGGTTTGTCATTTTAATTATGAAAATAATTATTTTGACATAAAATATTTAAAGTATATTTGTATACTTGTTTAAAATGATATTGGTATTTTTATTTGATTTCAAAATTAATTTTATATTAATTTTTGGTGTCAAATAAAATACATTTTGAACATTTGAGTGGAGAAGAATTTTGAAAATCCTTCTCACAATCAAACTTTCGGCCATAAGGATTCAAAAGATTAAAATCAATCTTTGATTAATAGTTTATTAATTTTAACCTTTAGCTTAATGACAAAGTTTGATTAATCACTTTGGAATCTTTTGTTTTTTGTTTTATTGATTGCACGGCACTTTGAAAAAAATTGATATATGTGAAGATCATCATCTTTGAAAATGCATGTGTGGTTTTTTGGCCATAATTTTCTAGTGAGAGAAAATTTCTTTTTGTTCCATTAATATCATTTTGTGTATAGAAAATATCTATAATATTTTCTAAATATTATTAGAAATATTTTCTATAAAAAATATGCAAGATTATTATTATCCCAATTTTAATCTTTATATTTTATACTACTATAATCTTTACTAGCATAAAGATTGTGGTAGACTCCGGCGTTGTTCGTGTGTTAAAGTTGGAGACCGGACGCTTGAACGGTTACGTTTGCACTTTCAACGCTCTTTGTACGACTTCTTCGTTTTTACCGTTTACGGAGAAAGGTATAAATTTCTTACTTACTACTACCTCCGTCCCGTGAAACATTTCCCCTTTCTTTTTTTATCCGTCCCAAAAAACACTTCTCATTTCTATTAAAAAGTCACTTTTACCCCTTACTTTTTCATACCCTAACTATCACATTATACCTTTTTACTAATAATCTATCCATCAAATCATACTTTTACCCATCACATCAAAGGACATTTTTGGAAATTCAATACCAAAATACACTCCCTTAAATCCCTCCTAAAAAGCAAATGTCCCATGTTTCACGGGACGGAGGTAGTATAAGTTTTAGTACATGATTCTGGGCAAGATAATCATGTTAGGATGGTAAAATTTTTATATTCCGCTGCCTATCCACTACGTCAAAAACAGATGCTGACAACTGTTTCTTTTATTAGTCTCTCGGTGCTGATTTCAGTAGTCTTCCGAGCAGCTGTCTGATATATTTACAGACTATTGTTTAAAAACAATTATGTAAAATGGTTGACGACACTTGTTTTGTAAAATCAGATTGCTGCTTCTAAAAATTTTCGATTTCATCTAAAATTTTAGAATCCCTCCTGATTTTTCATTGCCCGCTTAGTGCCCCCAATTTCGCATCTATCCCGTCCCCTTCAGAATATTTTTCTCCCATAGAGATAATTTCCGTCATCTTCTTCAAAATCACAGCCATAAGCCGGAGTTTCTCTCTAGGGCGTAAGATCGCTAGACAGTAACTCAGATTACTGTTCATTATATTGCCTTCTTCCCTTCGATTCTTCCATTAATTGAGCTCTTCTTGGCGTGATTTTTTTAGCCCTTGGTTCGTATGATGTGTGTGCAACTACATATGAATCCAATTTGGGAATTATTTGAGCTGGTATGTGGCGATTTGGAGGTCAACGACAATAGTGGTACTGTTCATCTACGAATTGAAATTCGAAGATTTCTCTTGTCTCGAGCAGAATTGAAGGACATCCTCTTAGGATTCTGAGAGAAATTGTTTGCTAATCCAAGGTATGAACATGGATTTCATTTCCACTTGATTCATCCTGCGATTTGAATAATTTGGGGAAACAATGTTCTGGTTGGTTTTTGGAGGAGTCCCTAATGCTGTTATTGAAACTATAATTGAGCAAAGTTGCTTTGAATGTACGGTTGGTGGTTGCACAACTGATTCATGTGATGTTCATGAATGTGTTAACTGTATTTTTGGAGCTTGTTCTTGGGAATACATTATTTTTGAACCTTGTATTTTTGATACCTTTGGTGTATTTGTACTGGCCATGTATCTTTTGAACCATAAGTTGTAGCTGTGCTGGTCCTCACCTGCTGCACGAACATGGGTGCTGAAACCAGAGAATCTTGATGAATTTGAGGTTCTTTTGGTTTTTGATGGTTTCATTTTGGTTAGGTGTACCTTGGGAAGTATGGGGCTGGAAATGCTGCTACCATGGACTGTTGAAGCTGAGTTTGGAATCAGCTGCTCTTTCCCACTGGATGCTACTGTGGTGATACTGTTTTTGGGCTGATAGAGTGGATTAAAATGTGGTTTTGGGCTGTGCATTGTTGCTGGAACTGCTGCCTGGGTATACCGGCTTGGTAAACGTTTCACTCCTCCCTGAACCTCTTGGAAACTCACTTTTGTCATAATTTACTTCATTTGCATGAGGTAGGGGCTAAATTGAACTCTTGACATGTGTGGTCTGTTTGGATATTGACGGCTGGATGGGAACTAGTAACCATGTGCCTTATGTGCCTTGGACAGGGAGTATATGTACTTGGCTTGAGACGCCACCAACATATGCTCCCTCCATGCTCTCGTTTTGACCTACTATACTGCTGCCTGGTGATGCGGGGTACTGGAAGCTGACACTGGAGCCAGGACGTGGATTACCACTTTGTTATGTTTGACCATTTTGATACTTGTCTTGTACTTGTTTTGATATTTTATTTCTACGGGGGTTGCTTGGACCACTTATTGGCACTTCTTGCTGAGTACATTTTAGGGAGAGGAAATGGAGTGTGGTTTGGGCAGTGTTTGGGCTCTTCCTTTAGCTTTTGGTCAGGGGTGCCACTAGTTTTTAGAGGCTGTTTGGCCACTGCCGGGACTACTCTGGACAGATTGCCGGATCCTGTGTGGCTCATTGGCATTGATTTGCTGGTACTTGAAGGTGGTCTACTAGATGGTACTTTGAGGTGCACTTGGGAGTCAAATAGCTTAGATGAGAGGTCATGGACTGTGTTTTGGGGAAATGATTGGACTGGAAGCTGAAACTGAACTATGGGGCACTGGTTTGCTGCTGGTGTTGGTGCTGTACTTGGCCGAAAGCACTGCTAGGAACACTGCCAGGAAGATGCTGGTTTTGGGTTTCCTACCTATCCACTTGCGGTGTCTGAACTCAAACCGAGGGCAGCAATGAATGAAGACCCCCTCTAGTGCAAGGCCTTGTTTCAGACAGCAATGGATTTCGCCATCTTCTTTTTGTTTTTTTTTTTTTGCTTTTCTGAGTGAGGTTGATTGATTGTATGGGTTCCCAATACCCTTTGTGTGTAGCGGGACACTACACAGCCTGTACATGTACTTTTTATTTTCTTTCAATAAAAGTGTTTATTTTTTAAAATGATAATTGTTTTAAACAGCGGTTATTTGATTGTTGTCTAAAGTTTCGCCCAAAGTTACGAAAGTAACGTTAGATAGCATACACATATTCATTGTAGTGATGGTTATCATTTATTTGAACTTTAAAAAAGTTTGAGACTTAATAGCTAAACTACTGTTTAAAAAGAGTATTCTTAACTTATTATAAAAAAACTCTAGCAAAACAATCATATGACACAGACAATTAGTAATAGATTACTATTTCTCATAATTTTAAAAACAATTCTACGCTTACTATCCACACTACTCTTTAAAAGAGTTTTCTTAACTTATTCTAAACAACTGTGAAAAAAACCCGTGTGACACAGACTACTAGTAATACATTACCGTTTCTCATAACTTTAAAAATAGTTCTAGGCTTTATAGCCTGACTATTGTTTAAAATTAGTATTCTTAATTTATTATAGACAACTGTGGTAACAAAAANCCATGAACTTTAAAAACAGATGTTGGCTAAGTATCTAGACTATTGTTAAAAAAGAGTATTGTATTCTTATTATAAACAACAGTGCCAAAAATACTATATGACATATACAACTATCAATAGATTATTGTTTCTCATAACTTTAAAAACAGTTCTAGACGGAATAACTAGACTACTGTTTGAAAAGAGTATTCTTAACTTATTATTGACAACTGTGATAACAAAAACTGTATTTTGATATGACACAGACAACTAATAATAGAATATTGTTTCTCAAAACTTTAAAAATAGTTTTAAGCATAATAGCTAGACTACTACTTTTGTAGCCAACAACAACAAACAGTAGTCTGATTTTTTCCAACTACTGTTTTTCCATAAACAGTAGTTAATCAACAGTCGTCTGACACTGTTTATGGCGTAGTGACACTGTTTGGATTGGGTGGCGGCATGGCAGGTGCTAATTAAAAGGTGTGCGTGAGCAAGTTCTGAAAGGTTGCAAAATTGTTTTCAGCCTTTGGCGAATGTCTGAGCAACTTGGAGCCACATGCTCAATGGAAGTAGACGAATCGGTGACACACGTACGTGGTCTCAATGGATGCTGGGACTGAAGAGTCACGCTGGGCACGGCAAAAGTGCAAAACAACAAGTTCCTAGTCCATCGAGACTGGGTCAAAGCCTCCAACTATCATTTTGAGAGGAGACCTGAGAAGGATTTTCCTCTGTTAGAACTATGAATGATCTTTGGGGTTAGAATGTTAGATCACATTGTCAAGCCGCGCAACTAGAAGCTGCTGATATTGGTTGGTTGGTTGGTTGGTTTGCATGAATGCCGAGCTCCATTAGTGTGAAATGACAACTAACTCCAGCGTGTTTTTGGATGGGATTAACTCTAGCTAGCTATAGCAGCTTTTTTTTTTTGAGAGGGCGAGACCGCGAGAAGACTGAAGAGTCGGCCAATTGTATATATTTTTCCCATACAGGAAAGCCAAGCCACTGTCTAAAATGGTCAAGTTATGATGTATATGCCTTAGCCTACCCTTTATTAGCACTCTAAATTTCAAACTCTTAACAGATTTGACCACCAAAAGCTTCCAGCTCTAACAAGAGTTATATCCTTACTAAGCATTTTTACCCTGAACTCTCTCCGGTCCTAAAAATTTTTTTAATTTTGACTTTTTTTGGTCAAACAGTGGCATTCTTTGACCACAAATTAAATATAATCTAAACAAATAAATGATAAAAAATTTGATATATCAAAACTATATCTCAAGATGAACTCAATTATATTGAATTTATATTATAATTAAATATATTTTTCTCACAATTTTTGGTCAAAGAGAGTGTCATTGTTTTCAAAAAAAAAAAATTAAAACAGGAATGATTTTTAGGATATCATTTATAAATGCACTACTTTAAAGTTCTTAGAGACAAATTCCTATTATGTGACTATCTGTGTACATTTTTGCCCTTAATCACACAAGAATACTTATTATCTTCTTCTTAGTTTTGCTTTAATTTTAAAAGCCGTACTCAAGAAAATGAGCTTTGTTGAATCTGGAAAATTATTGAGTTTATGTTGCTGGGAATGGGGCATTGCCACTTCATATGGTTACTTCATTTTGATGGCCAATCTGAAGAGTTAGATCGCTATAGTTAGTTACTACCTCCATCCCAGTGTATTTTTCCATTTTGACTTTTTCAAGTTAAATTCGACAAACTTTGAATTCCAATTACTCTCAATTTATATTGCATATTAGCATAATGAAATACAATTTTAAAAGTTCTCAATACGATAAATCCAATAAAGTCATTTTTATGTTAAAATACATTACGGTTTTTATTTAATTGAAGTTCAAAATTTGCCCATTTTGATTCGAAAAAGTCAAACTGGACAAATACACTGGAACGGAGGGAGTATTTGATGTTCCCTTCATATTTTCGAATCGTGGAAAATATATACTCCCCTGTCCCAAATTAAATGGTCTGTACGCCATTTACATCGTTAAATTTTATTCTGCGGAAACGACGGGAAAGTTGGACCCCCCCCCTCCCCAATGTTCAAAACAAGGAACAAAAAAGAATTAAAACCGGCTCAGGAATCAGACCAATCGGGGTATTACAAACCCATAATTGCCTAAAAAGGTTCTGGTGCCGATTCCCCTACACGCCCACCGGTTCCCGTCACAATTCTAGTTCGAAATTAAAATTGTGTCCAAGTGTATTCAAATGTATAAATTGAATCACGGATATCATAGAATTCTAAAAATTCACGTCACTCTCATTGATATATTAAATAAAAAAAAATAAAATTATCTGTATAAAATGCACATTCAATTTTCTATTCCTAAAACTTAGAGCCTCTTTGTTTGATACGTACTCCATTCCAAATTAACTTTCTAGATAAGTCGAAAAGTAAATGAATCTAGACACACTATAAGTCTACATTCATTCATTTCTCAATGTATCTAAAAAATCATAATGAACAGTTAATATCAAAGGGAGGAAGAAGTACATATTATATCCGTTCCATAATAAAAATTTTGTTTGCTATTTCTAAGTTCAATTTATATCAATATTTTTGTTACTAAAACTTATTCTATAAACGTGATTTAGGGAAGCAATTCCCCTACTTCACTTCCCACACCGGTAGGGGTAATGCAAAAAGTCCACTTAAGTAAGCAAGTGGCGGGCTAATCTAGCCATACCGGTGGGATGAAGTGGCGGTGGTTTCTCAGGCAATACCTAACCCTAAACCGCCCTGGATACGGGGATTCCGGATTCTGGGGTGTTTCTCCGGCTGTTTTCCCGACAAAAAATGAAACGCCGATGCCCTGCCTGAGACTCTACCGCGGTGAAAATAATTGCCACGGGAGGGTTTGTAGGGAGTGTTGTCGGCTTGTGGGGTCACATGTTTGACGGTTACTATTCCTCGCCCTCCCAATCATCCCCATTTTTTGTGACAATCTCAAAACTTTATACTCCCTCCGTCCCCAATTGGATTACAAATTGAGAGTTATGGAGTAAAATTTCTTACTTTTTGAAATCATTTTATTTACAAATTGGTATATCAAGAAAATATACAAATTACATATTAAAAAACTACGTCAAAAGTTTTACAAAACAAGAGGTGACAAGAATATTTTATTTTAACAAATACTTAATGAAATCGTGTAAACAAACAAAAGTTATCGAGAGGAGAGAGAAAAAAATTGTAATTTATTTAGGGACGGAGGGAGTACTTTCTTAAAAGAAGATAATTAAACGAAGAGAGTACGTTCATAGAGATTGTCACATGTTTGACGGTTACTATTCCTCGCCCTCCCAATCATTTCCATTTTGTGACAATCTCAAAAACTTTATACTACCTTCGTCCCAGAGTATTTGTCTACTTTCATTTTTACACACCATCCAATACACTTCTTTAATCCATTTTATTTTGTAATTTGTATATTAAAAAATTATAGAAATTATATATTAATAATCTATATGTTAAGACAAATCAAACAAGATCACTAATAACTATATTTAGGCTTACACATTGAGAGAATTTGATGAGTCAAAGTGCTTAGATGAACAATTCCAAAAGTCAAAACTGGACGAATACTCCGGGACGGAAGGAGTACTTTCTTAAAAGAAGATAATTAAATGAATAGAGTACGTTCATAGAGATTGTCACATGTTTGACGGTTACTATTCCTCACCCTCCCAATCATCTCCATTTTGTGACAATCTCAAAAACTTTATACTTTCTTCAAAGAAGATAATTAAACGAAGAGAGTACGTTCATAGAGATTGTCACATATTTGACGGTTACTATTCCTCGCCCTCCCAATCATCCCCATTTTGTGACAATCTCAAAAACTTTATACTTTCTTAAAAGAAGATAATTAAACGAAGAGAGTACGTTCATAGAGATTGCTAAAACTCATATGGTAGTTAAAAATACAATATACACCATCAAAATTTGCCATTGGAGATGCTCTTAGAATTCAAATTATCAAAAAAGTATTACCTCTATCCCAAAATGAATGTCACTATTCGCACATCCTGTAAACTCTCATTACTTTAAAAAAATAGTTAAAATTTTCATGGAAATAAATGTAAATTACATCGTTTAAAATACAAGAATATTTTATTTTATTGAATTGGGAATCAATGTAATGGGATGTCAAGGGGGTAGTCCGATGTAATGGGAATCAATGTAATCCTATTCTTAAAAACAGGGGAATTATGCCCCATGCTTTTTCCCGCCCAAACGCTATCGTTTATGGACCATCGATTTTGATCTTCATTTTTAATCTACGGTAATTATAATTAAGCAACATGCAAATATGGCTTTATTTCATTCTATAAAAAGAAAATACCTTATAAGATTCATGTGTAATTTAATGCGGTGTATATAAATAATATGGTTTTATAAAAGGAAAACATTGTGTATATAAATGATACGATTTTAACTATTTAAAAAAAGAAATTAACTTTATAAAATCTGTACATACTTAATGCCCGAAAATTGAAGGGGATTTTTTATGCATGAAAAAACATGTGAATAGTGTTAGCGTGATTAAGAGTATGTTTGGGAATAGCGTTAGTGATTAGTGTTAGCGTTTTGAAAAGGCTATCTACGGACAGCATTTAGCATTAGCGTTTTCAAAGTAATCTGCACCGTTAAAATTTTATCCAAAATGCTAACGCTAATCTCTAACTATATTCCCAAACAGGCTCTAAGAAACGAAAGAATTACCAAACAAAGAAGTCAAGGAATTTTGGAAGTTATTAGCATGTTAAACGAAAAGGCCCTTTCTCGAATCATTTTTTATTTGTCTCATACGTCGAGTAGACCTGGCAAGCAGGTTGGATTCGGGTTTGGTCACCTTGGGTTCGGGTTACTTTGGGTTCGGATAAGTTCGGGTTCGGATTAATAACTACATGTTCATGACTCAGTGTTATCGGGTTCAGGTTGACCCAACGGGTTATGAGTTTCATTAATTTTTTTGAAACTTTAAATAATTTCTATGACTTAGTGTCAATATTACGAATAAAAAAGTTAAATATGTAAAATTTTTGAAAAAATGTAAGATAATTATGCGACATCATTAAAATTTGTTATGATGGTAAAAATCTATACACAAAAAATGAGTAGTAAGCAAAGAAATATAAAAAATATTGCAAGAAACCGTGAGTATTTTTGTGCTTAATAATGAAAGTTTTAAAATTTTAATCTTATGTATTTTAATTATTTGCACCATGTTAATTGCCTACGCATTAAAGTTATTAATAAAATTCAAACATTCCTCCTGTTCTAAATCTTTCCTCTTTTTATTTCTATGCTTTAAAAGGTTATGAAATCGGCGTTTCAAGAAAAATAAATCTAACCTCCTTTGATTTTTAATAAAAATAATAATATCAAAATTCAATCATTTTCTTTTTTTATAACACTCGTCATTTTAATATCTTAAACCGTATTTAAGAAGTCGTTTGGGCGGGAAAACGATGGGCACATGTCGAGTATGGTGTAGCTAATTTATGTATCTTCCCCTTCTTTTCAGAATAGGAAGATGTGGTGGAGATAATTTATGTATTACACAATTGAAAAACATTATATTTCATTATATGTTGTACTTATTTACTTTTTTAATAATACCAATATAAATTTATAACGTTAATACAAATCGTGCAACGCACGGGGTGTGATACTAGCGGGAATCAATATAATGTAATGGGATGGCAAGAATACTTTTAATGTAGTTTTAAACAATATAGTACTTTGTACCTTTTTTTGAAATATCAATTTGTAAATAAAGTAATTTTAAAAAAATGGAATTTTGCACGTTATTCAAAATTGAAAGTTTATTGTTGGACGAAAGGGGTAGAATTTAAATGAGGTTTAGCTTAGTATCTTTAGTATATACAAAAGCAAAAGAATTGGAGAAAGAAAAAAAAGAAAAAAAATAATATTTTCCCGCCTAATCCATAATATTTAATGAAGAGAAACAAGCCTTTTGGACTTCTATACTAATTGTAGCCGCCCAATCCATATCCCGATATTGAACATGGAGCATTATGTATTCAATGAACCAAAACCACTTTTGGTGTTCTATTAATTGCAGTCGCACAACCCTTCAAAAAATCCAACAAAAACTCTTGGGCTTCTATTTAAAAACTCTAAATTATTCCATAGGATTTTCTTATATAAAGCAATCCAATTTCATATCATGGCAATTCAATATTGCCTTGATGTAAAGTACTACAATCTTCCTTTATAATACGGAGTATTAATTTATTTGTCGAGAGGATGTTGTTCACCATAAAAAAATGTTGATCATATATGTACATTCATCCCGTGTTCCAACACATGAAAGCGGAGGGAAAACAAAAGAGGACATTTTTCACGGCAAATAGATTTTTTTAATATTGTGGATTTGAATGACGATCTTAATTATATTTGACAAAAAATAAACAAATTATCAAATAATTTTTAAATTTTGCTTGACACTTCACATAGATTCTACATCCAACATATTTGCGACATTATAAATCATATGAGATTTTGTTAACAGAATACAGTTCTCAAATCAAGTATCCAATGTCATAAAAAAACAAATTTACGATGAGTCTATATTCGTCCATCGGTGTCACAAAATTAAAAAATTATTCTCAGTTTTACTATCTTAATTTTTAAGTAAAGTGTTAGATAGTAAAAGCATATATTTAGAGTCTGATTTTTTTTGAATTAGAAAAGAATAATATTAGATTCACAAACAAGCAGTTCATGAAATTTACAAAGTTGCTTTTTTAACATTTCACTTGAAATAAGATGGAAGCACTCAATTAATAAAAAATGTTTTAATTTAAAATTCACAAAAAGGTAAGTTTTTGAAGTATGTGAATTATTTATTTGTGACTCTAGCATTTTTGAAACAAAAAGACTAAAAAAAACTAAAAGAAACTAGAAAAGACTCGATCGAAAAAACTCCAAACATCTATTAAGTGTATTTTTCATAGTATTATTATTATTATTATTACTATTATTATTATGATTATTATTATTAATAATATTATTATTATAGGTAAACAAAGTGACAAAGGGTGTAGCCTTATTATTACTCCGTATTTTTAAATTTAAAATACTGATTATTTTCCAATGGTCAGTTTATATTTAAAAATATCAATAATTTTAGAACATTTTTTAATATCATGTAAATTAATAAAAAATCAATTTTCCCAGTAAAATTGTATTATTTCTATTTAGAAATAGAAGAAAATAATAATAATGAATGTGAGTCACAAAATAGTGAGATGTTAAAAATAAAAATTGAAACAATTCATAAATAATAATATTAATAATAATAATAATAATAATAATAAGTAAAAGTTGTGTACAAAAGGACTCCACACCATGTAAGAAGCAACTCAACACAATACTTTTGAATCACCAATTTAAGTGAAACTGTTTAAATTGTTATTTAACCAACTAAGATGTCACATAAGGTAAAATTTTCTCCGTTATACATATGGGTCAAGATGTTGTCATCTCAAAATTGTCATTGATCCTTTGAGATTCAATGATTCCTTTCAAGTTTGAAAGGCAATAGTTGGACCACAAGCAAAAGTCAAGGCAAACCACTAACTCACGTGTGCCTTCTTCTCAAAAAGTCTGTATAACTGTATTTAGTCGCAGACAATAGTGTATTGCGGTTTCAAAAGTTATAAATGTTAGTGATTTAAATGTTTTTCAATTTGCGATGAAAATGAATAGCGAGCACCCTCTACAATAAATGATGTTTATTAAAAAAAACTATTGTTTGTGTACACTTTATCAATATGTTGTGTGCTTGGTTTAGTTTCCGATTTTGCGATGTTATACAAAATTTGATTTTATACAAATCGCATTTTAGATCATTCCCTTATACCCCTTTCGCTCCATATATAATTATCTTTCTTCTCTCTTATTTGTCCCAATTCTTTTACTTTACTACGAAACAAATATGTCATTCGTATCAAATTTTTAGACAAATCACAATCATCAACATTTTAGTTTATTAAACATCGTACCAAATCAAACTCAAAAGATAAGTCAAGGACGGAGGGAGTATTTCTTTATATCCAAATAGTGATAACTCAAATATTTTGTAATTTTAATTTTAAACGAATTTTTTTCGTGCAACGCACGGGTACGAATCTAGTAAACGCACAACAATAACAGATTGTTTTTTATTTGATGAAAGAGAACTTAATTAAAATAAAAATTAAATTTTTTTTATGAATACAAAACAAAAAATTAATGAGCACAAACATTTAGTGTTTTAATAAAAAAAATAATAAGTATACACATATTTCAACGAACCCAACGACACAAATTCCACTAAAGTAGTGTTTGAACTCTAGAAAGGTTGTGCATAAGGGGGTGTTTGTTTTTTGCTGTTTGTTTTTTAGAAGACAAATCACTTAAAAACTTCTTCTCATCAGCCTCCCTATATCTCCCTTCTCGATCTAAAACCTACCCTCTTCTCATCCGCCTCCCTTCCCGACTCTCTCTCCCTTCCGCCGCGACTTCTCTCTCCCTCCGCCGGCGTCCGTCTCCCTCTGCCGGCGTCCGTCTCCCTCCTCATCAACTCCAGCAGCGCCGCCCTCCTCCTCGCAATTGTGAGATTGCAATTCACGATTGCAACTCCAGCGGTGCCGGCTCTCAATTGAGATTGCAACTCCATCGGCCTCCTCCTCTCACGATTGCCTCTCAATTCACGATTGGTATGTGAATTTAGCCTATCTTGTATCAATTGCCATTTGCATTTTAATTATTACAATGGTGGGCAGTGGGCTCAATTAGGTCATTATAAAGTCAATTGGTAAGATTAGATCAACTGAGTTACATATTTTAGAGTAATTGAATTTATCTAGTATAAATTTATCTCCAGATTTTATATAATTGAATTGTATTTGTATCTTCTAGTTTACATATACCTAGGGCTGAATTTGTACAATATTTTTTTACATGTTTTTTATTTTTTTATATAATCGTGAACAATTTGTTGTGAATTGTTGCTAAAGATTGTTGTAGTAGTTCATGTTGTTGATTATTCTTGTTGATTATTGTTGTTCTAGTTCAGATTTGTTTAATGTTGCTAATGATTGTTGCGGAATAAATTATTTGTAATATTGTTATTATTGTTATTTTAAAAAGTGCTATTGTTGTTATTTCAGTGTTGTAGAACTCTTATTTAAATTTGAATGTTTAAAAATATTGATTACTTTAAAAATCTGTTTATTTTAAATTTCAGTTTATTTAAACAATCTGCAGAAGTTAAAAAACAAACAGTCTTCCTCTTGCAGATTGCAGACCTTTGGCCCACCTCTTCTCCTGCAGATGTGTGCAGATGTGGTCTGCAGACTGCAGACCTTTTTCTACAGAAAAAACAAATAGCACCGTAGACATTGCCTCTACTTGAAAATAGAAATAATGTTTCCAAGAGATCCTCAAAAAACTTAAAAGTAAAAAGTTTTTTAAATGAACACACCCGTTCGCAATAGATCCTCTCAAGGTGACTTTTTTAAAAAAATATAAAAAAATTAATAAAATATTCTTAGGTTCCGTTTGGTTCACGGAATTCAAATCATGGAATTAGAATTGGAAACTTCAATTCTAATTTTGTTGTTTGATAACATAATATATATATATATATATATATATATATATATATATATATATATATATATATATATATATATATATATAGAATTAGTAGTACAAAAAATAAATTGAAAATGAAAAATTCAATTCCATCTCATTCAATTCTATTGAATTCAAATTTTAATTTTTTTTTCCAATTTTTCCAATTTTGTGTACTAAACATACTATTAATGAAATTAGGTGGAGTACATTAAATGAGATGAATGAGGTGTAATAAATAAAATAAGTATAGATACTTGTGGTACTTTAAATGTTAAAAAAGATAATGGAAAAATCTTTCTCGAATAAACAAAAAGAATATTTGAGAAGAACTATGGCAGACAGAAAAAATAATACTCTAAATTTCGTATATCTTAATTTAGAAAAGAAAAACATTTTTAAATGAAAACTTAACAATAATACTCCGTGACACTTTTTAAGATGAAATTTAAATTCAAATTCTTTATTAGTTGATGTTTTTATAAACTTACTACGATAATTAATTTTGTCATGTGAAAAAAAGAACATAATACTAGGGGTTAGGCTGAAAATGATAAAAAATGGTAATTCCTTTTCGAACAAAATTTTGCAGTTCAACAAAATGAGATATTATAAAGACGGGACAACATAATTGAAATTCTTACTCATCTTCTAACTTAAATTTCTTCTCTTTGTTATTATAAAGACGGGACAATATTATTACTCCGTATTATTCCAATATTTCAAAAGGCCTCTCTTTGATACGTACTCCATTTCATGTTAACCTTCTAGATAAATTGAAAACTAAATGAATCTAGGCATATTGTAAATTTACATTCATTCACTTCTCAATGTACTCCTTTTGTCCCATTTTAAATTGTATGTTTGCCTTTTTTCTCCGTTCCAAAATAAGTTGTCTGTTACATATTATCGTAAACTTTTAAGAGTAAAATACCTAAACTACCCCTAAAATAAGTCACTCTTCTCCACCTTATCTTCTTATTCATTGTCACCCAACCTAAAATGTAATGACAATTTCGAAAAATCAACTCTATTTTTTCTTTTCCTTAAATATGTCCAAAAGTCAAAACAGACGATTTAAAACGGGACGGAAGGAGTACATTTTATCTCAGTTCCATCATAAAATTTTGTTTACTCTTTCTAAGGTCAAATTATATCAATATTTTTGTTACTCCCTCCGTCCTTGAGTATTTGTCCACTTTTGACTTTTTACGGTTAAAATTGGTAAATTTTGAGCTCAAAGTAAATAAAAATGATACTCCGTATAAGATATTGATACAAAAATAGTTTTATTAGATTTATTATACTCCCTCCGTCCTAAAACTTCTTTCCTAGAGTACTATTCCAACTTCACGTGAATTATATTTATTTGTGTTTTTTCATGGCCTATATGATAAAATAAAATATTCTTGTCACCACTTGTTTTGTTACGTTGAACTTTTGATGTAGTTTTTAAATATGTATGTTTTATTTTTTATTTCTATACCAATATTTAAATAAAATAGATTGAAAAAACTTGGGATTTTTCTTCGTTTTGCACAACGGGAAGAAAGATATAGGACGGAGGGAGTATCAAATGTTTTCAAAATATTGTTTTATCTAATTAATATACAATATATATTTTATTTAACTACAGGTCAAAAATTGAAAATGCTTGACCAAAAAATATCCAAACTGGATAAATACTGAGGGACGGAGTCACTACAAAAACTTATGCTCTTTTTTTGACCTCATGTTATGTTGATGTTAATTTTAGGACTAAAATTATAATTCGTCATCAACTTTACGTCCAGTGACACATTCTAATGTAAATTATTAGACAAACAATACAATAATAATGATTATGATTTTGACGAAAGACCACATCTGTAGACTTTTGTAGTAATAGAAAGCGACTGTAATTTACAAACGACGCATCAAGAGCGGCCTCTGGAATTGTGCATGATAAGAAAATATGAGCATTGTGAAATTATATTTTGAGTTTCAAATTAACACCAACATGACAAAAGATAAAAAAAATGAACTATTTATAGAAAGATACCTATAAAAGAAGAACGACGAAGGTTATATTTGATAATAGATGACTAAATAGGAAAAACCCTTTGTTATAAAGAAAAGATTAATAAATGTACTCGTGTGTAAAATCTCGATACTTTTTTTTAAAAAAACTAATTAAAGTTTGTCATGGAAATAAAGTACAAATTTTATCGTTCAAAGTATAAGAATATTTTATTTTATCGAATATTCAATGAAGCGTTCAGACAAACCATAGTCATCGAGCGACTGTAATAGTAACCGTGTGATCTATTTCTGGACGGAAAGATTATCTTTAGCTATAATGTAAATCTAATGTAATTGGATTTATTTTAAAGTTTAGTATTGATATATCACACGGAGTACTATTTTATAAGAATCTATTATTTAAAGTTATACTCCTAGTTTAATTGCTGTTAAAAAGACTACAAAAATCAAGATAATTTTGTGACGGGTACGAAATGGGTATATCGAATTACAGAACTCCAAAATGTTTTGGTGAGAATATGATAAAATATACTGTTTATTTAACCTATAAAAGTCAAACAAGAGTATAAGGAATTATTTTTGAAAATTTTTGGGGACGTAATTATTTCTGGAAATGATTGACTTTTTGCAGATGATTGATGTTCTTTTATAGAAATCCATAATTAATCAAACACCGTCTTCATTGGCCAAACTACTAAAACCACACTACAGATAAAAACCAGTTCTTTTATTTTTAATTTTGCAGGATGCACAAAGATATAACAGAAGAAGAAACTTACCCAACTCTTCTTCCCAAACCCATGGGAAGGTTAAAAAGAACTTCAAACACAACAACTCTACTTCACAATGCAGATCTTGATGACCGAAGACGCGCCGATCCGGTGCAGCGCCACAACGGCGTCCCCAGACTGGCAGAGCCCCCTCTGGGTGGCCGACTTCAGCGCGGCCCCAAGAATCACCTCGGTCGACTCGGCGTCGGTGGCCTTCGCGGACCCCTCACCCAGAAGGGGAATCAGGCCTCTGTAGATCAGGCTGTGCCTGGCGGGGGTTTCATCGCTGACGCTCCAGTCAAAAGAGTCTGTGGTTAGGACTGGCACCACCACGGAGAGGATGGGCACGGCCGGCCTGTACTTGGCAACCAGTTTGGCGGTGGTGCCGCCGCGCGTCAACACCACGATGAGCTTTGCTTTGGCCTTATTGGCGGTGCGCACGGCTGAGGAGGCCAGAGACTCCAGTGGGCTCATGGGAAGTGGGGTGGACCTGATCATCTCCTTGAATATGGCGCTGTAGTCGAGGGACGACTCTGCCTCCAGGCAGATTCTGGCCATGATTTTCACGGCGATCTCCGGGTACGCCCCGGCGGCGCTCTCGCCGCTCAGCATCACGCAGTCGGTGCCGTCCAAGACGGCATTGGCCACGTCGGTGGCCTCGGCGCGCGTGGGCCGGGGCGACTTGATCATGGACTCCAGCATCTGGGTGGCGGTGACCACGGGCTTGCCCACCAGATTGCACTTGTAGATCATCATTTTTTGGGCCAAGAAGATTTTCTCGACCGGGATTTCCATGCCGAGATCGCCCCGCGCAACCATGAATGAGTCCGTCTCGCGGAGGATTTCGTCGAAATTCACAACTCCCTCTTGGTTCTCAACCTTCAAAACAATAAAAGAAAAAAAAATAAAGATGTGACATATTGAAAGGGGAGTGGGGGAGTACGAGTTTGTGAGTTTGTTCACTTCGACTGATAAGCTTTGTATTGAATTTATCAAGGTCTGATATGATTCTTTTGGTCAAATTAGAATTTTTTGGCCTGATCTGATTAAAGTTAAAGTTGTATATGTTTAAGATTTGATGTAGTTGGATCAAAACATTTCTAATTTGATCACAATTTTTCTGATCTATCCTAATAATGTAGGGTCTGAACAAGTTGTTTTTGATGTTGTTTTAAAATAATGTACCCGGTGGAATCCCACGAAAGTAGGGTCTGGGTAGCTTTTGATGTTGTTTTAAAATATATAAACTTCATTTTTAAAATTTACACTTATAATCAAATAAATTGAATTAAGTCAAACCTCGCAAACCAAAACGGGAAAAAAAAGTTTTAGGACGGAGGGAGTACCAAGTACTATGAACAAGTTGGAGAGAACATGTCCTACCTTTGACATAAGCTGTATGCGCTTAGCATGCGGGCCAAGAAGCTTGCGAACATTAACAAGGTCTGAACCTTTGCGCACGAAGGAAAGGGCAATCATGTCAATGTTGTTAGGAACACCCCAACCAAGGATATCTTCCTTGTCCTTCTCCGTTAGTGTAGGGAGGTCAACCACAACACCCGGAAGGTTCACATTCTTCCTTTCGCCTAACATGGCCGTGTTCTCGCAGCGACATCTTACTGTTCCAGCAGAGTGATCGCACGACAGAACACTGAGTGTTATGGTCCCATCTGCACACAAAATGGTATTCCCAGGCTTCACGTCCACAGCTAGTTTCTTGTAGCTCATGGATATCGTCTCTCCATCTCCCTTTATGCTGTAGTCGGTTGTCACGGTGATTTCTTGGCCTTCCTTGAGTTGTACTGGTTTTCCATCCTTCAAGAAACCGGTTCGGATCTCAGGGCCCTGCATGTTACTTAGCGTCAACACATGGCGACATGATATTATATTTACAGCCCTATTTATAGCAAAATAATAACCCAAAAGCCAAAACAATTGCACCATATATACATGATACATCATTCAAATGGCATCATTATGGTGTGATATGATGCTAATTCACAATACTAGATGAACTTGCATTACAACAACAAACCTAGTATAATCCCAACTATGAAAGGGTGGGTCTGTGGGTCAGTTTATATATCCACAACAAGCAATTAGAGAGTTGAAATGCACTTGTTTAGTTATTTTAAAATGGATTTGTGTATCCCATGTCTAATTAAGTTCAACGGAGTAGGAGAAATCAAAAGAGAAGTAGAAATGTAGACCTTGGTATCAAGCATGACAGCACAGAGGATCTGCGTGTTGTACATAGCAATCTTGAGGTTGTTCAAGGTCTCCTGGTGGTACTCGTGGGTCCCATGCGAAAAATTAAACCTGGCGACATTCATTCCAGCCCGAAGAAGCTTCTCGAGCATTGGAACTGATCGAGATGCGGGTCCCAAAGTGCAAACTATCTTTGTCTTGGGAACACGTCGGCTATCAGTTGGGACGTCTTTCAAGATTCCCATGATGTCTATGTTTGCCATTTCTTGGACAGAATTTGTTCCGCCTACAAATGCAAAACATGACTCTCAAAGTAATACAATGTTGAAAATTTTGCAAACAATTTACTTCGCCATCAAAAGAAAAACAAGAAATGAAAAAATTGAAAATAAAAAAATTGAAAGACACCTCTTATTAAAACTTTTGACGTAGTTCTTCTAAACATATAACTTTTATATTCTAATCTTACACCGACATGTAATCAAATTGGTTGCGGATAACTTGACTCAAACATCCTAAACCAAAATATAAACTTTAAAAGAGACAGGGAGCATTTGTTAGGTAGAAACACCTAGGACCTAAACATGCTTTATATATCTATACATCTTCAATGTTTTAATACCAAAACAGGACTCATAATGTCAAATAATGCCAAAAACCACATGAAAAAGATGAATTAGTAATCAGATTCAAGTTGAGGCAGATCTAAGTAAAAAACAAAAGGAAGAACTGAATAGCAGAGAGACTAGAAATGCAATTCAAGTAAAAAAACCCCAGAAGAGAAAAAATCAAATTGAAATTCATGCTAGGGCTCTTCGGATTTCATACTTCGATTGAAGGATAATAATACTGGGATCATAGAATTGGGCCAGGAAACCAGACCTGAAGAAAGTGGAGAGAGCTGTAAACGCCCCCTTCCTGCTCACAGTTGTTTGCCTTCTTCGATCGAGCGGAGAAACCCTAGCTAGCTAGGTGTTGAGAAAATTATGGAGGAAATCGAGATCTGTGTTCCAATTACAGTCCCTTCTGTAGCATCGTGTCTGGTGGGCGGCTGGCCGCTCCAGAGTTTTGACACATGGAATATTCCACATTTTCCACTAGTACGTAGTACATTTTTTGCATCAATTTTAGGAATCTCTAGAATATTCCCTCGCTCATTAGTAAATAAATTTTTCACTTTTCTTTTTTATTTGTCCTAAAATAAAATAAGTGTCGGTGAGTGTTGTGCAATTGGCATGGCAAGGGGTGTCAAGGGAGTAAAACTTGTGTTCGATTCCTAGCAACTATGCTAGGAGGCAATTATGCTAAGCATAGGACCTCTGCAAGTATCAGATGCAGACTCCATTTTTTGCCACAAATTTGCAATAAAAGTCCAATTTACTTCTGCTCAGTAATCGACCGGCTGAATCTAAGGGAGTCTTCGAGGATGAGGCTCATCCTTTTTTTCTAAAATAAAATACGTCTCTACCTAATGGGCCCTATAAAATTATATACGTCCCAATAAAATTTTAATCAATTATCATAATTTTTTTTGGCAAAATTGAGAGCGTTTAATTAAGAAAAAAAGCTAAAGGTACACCATTTGAGATACTCCATTTGTACCCCCCTCCATCTCCACCACACAAAAGCAAGAGAGGAAAAAAAATTTAAAAATGAAATAAGAAATAGAGGGTTAAGATTGATGGGGTACAAATGGGGTACTCCAAACGGTGTACCCTAGCATTCCTCCTTAATTAAATGTGATAGCTAGCTCCTTGTGCTTGTTGGCCATAGAATAGTCTTTTCAATGACCATATTAAAATCATATCATGATTTACCCTCTTACTATGATGTTAGGCGTGAATTTTGGGGGCACCCGTAGCACGCATTCTACGTTTTTATATATAGAAAAAAACGAACCACATCCCCAAAGGCCCTCAGTACCGATCAGACAGTTAGCTGTGACTCCTTGAAAAATTACATTAAGTTAGAATCTCAGTCAGTTGGCATAAGGACAAGTTTTGTGACAGGTATTTACAGAAGTCTAATTTTTTTATATGATTGTCCTTCATCGCAGTAAAAAATTCAGACTTTCTCTCATTTGGTGCCTTTATGTAAAATGTTTAACTATGTCTCAACGACATTTTTTTTTGGGGGGGGTATCTGGAAGGAGGTAGGTGAGTAGGTGTTGGTAGGTATATGTAGAGAAATTTCGAATTTGAAGTATATATAGTTATGAAGTCCTCTAAATAGTTACTCCGTAATTTCTTTTTTTTTCTTCCACCAAAATGCCGAGCTCAAAAATATCGTGAAGGTGGCTTGGTTAGTTTGGCCCTTTGAGTTGTCCATGTGAAGCTCATGTGCGGCATGTGGTTTCCATGTGATAGTGTTCCACGGGTCCCGCCAAATGTCTCCACATCACTTCAAATATATTCTTTTGTCCATATATCTCTGGTTCTGTCTTGAATAATTTATCTGATTTATATCTTGGACCAGATAAAATTGGGCTTTCTTGTACTGCTCAAATAATATTGGATTAGAAAAAATCCATAATCCATCACATGCCCCCCTAGTTTTGAGTCTGTCTCGGGGAACGAGATAGATTCAAAACTATATGACTCAGTGGGTTGCCTCATGGGATAAAACATTTCTTGGAACCTCGGCAAGAGGACCTTCTTTTTTTTGGAGGGTCTCGTTACCTCGTTGGTAAGGATTTAACTTAGTGTCTCTCGAAAGAGAACTTTTCTCGGGGATTTCGTGCCTCTTGGAAGAGGATTTTACTCAGGGATTTGTGCCTCTTTAGAAGAGAACCTTCTCGGGACTTTGTGCCTCTTCGGAAGAGGACTTTCTCAAGCTTTGTGCCTCTTTGAAAGAGGACTTTCTC